TATGTAAGGCTCTTGATACTTACAAGGATGGTTATATGTTGCAGGTATCATTCAAAGCGACGTTACTTCCGCGTGAGGCGCTCGTTTAGGTTTGTTTTCTACCTGTAGATACCTTTGTTGATCGACATGAAAAACGAAAGTGTATGATTAGACTATCGATAAGGCAGTAATCGGCTTATCGTGTAACCATCTTGTATGTTCATTGATAATTATAGCGAAAACTCCGTGATGGCAAATGTGTGTCCGAAAATTAAGCTCAACGATGGGAACGAGCTCCCCGTGCTCGGTCTTGGAACTTGGATGGTATGGCTCTAGAAAGGCTTAACTTTGTAACCAACTTGAATTAGCAACCGTGTTTTTTAGAGCTATATAATAGTGTGTAATGATAGACTGCTAAAAATTGTGCGCACTTTGATTCGTGTATGAGGAAATTCTATTCGGTTTCTAAGTACGTTGTAATATGTAGCAGACCAAATGAGAAGCCAAGAAATACCAGTAAATAGATAATCTTAAGACTTAAGACGACAACGTTTCTTTCAATTTTTATAATAAAAACCTTTTAAAATCCTAAAGAATGTCTTCAATTTGTCTACGTATGTCTTCAGTTTGCTTCGAGGAAAAGTTGCACGCAACCGCCATGTGTAATGCGGCAATTCATTTACCAGTATCAGAATGGAGAGATTTCAGCCTAATTAACCTGTTTTTGATTTGATGACACATTAGGTTGGACCAGGTGAAGTATATGATGCTGTGTGTCACGCTATAGATATCGGCTACCGTCATTTAGACTGTGCACTTGCCTACGAAAACGAGGATGGTATTGGTAGGGCGATTGCGGATAAAATCAAACAGGGAGTTCTGAGCAGAGACGATTTGTTTGTGACAAGCAAGGTAGGCCAAGCAATGCATAGATACGCAAGAGCTACTGGCAATAATAGCTGCCTGCTTTGATTTTAAGGAGGTTATTTATCGATAACTTGAAGTAAGTTATCATTAATTTCTTCAGTACACACAGTTACCAGCAACGTAAGTTGATTGCGTATAATCAAAGTACACAAATTACAAGTGACTAGCTTCCTCATCATAAAAGATTCTAAGGCTTTAATCGTACGTAGGATATAAAAAAATATTTTCTTCTAGAAAATTATATGTGCCTATTATATGAAATATGCTGAAACAGTTATAGAATTTCCCCAGTACCCGTTATTATGGTAGAATCAAGAAACCAACAGCGAAGTAGCCAGTATTTCAGATTCATGTCTTAATCGCATTATTTGAAGTCAAATCTGTTAGTGCAACTGATACACACTCGGTTCTATCCTCGCGCCACCTCGGTAACAATTTTTGAACGAATCCCACCGGGGTATATCGATCGAACGATAGAGTACTATCGGTAAATTCATTTTCCTCATCTTGTCAATAACCGCTCTGGTGATTACTACAAAAAAATGAAGCCGCTGTAACTTCGCCTGAATAGGACAATTGTCTAGTTTGATCTATTGATGCATCGGCAGTTAGGAACACTGTCGCAGGTTCGTAACGAGAACGTTCGTGAGTATCCGGCTATCATTTTATTACATAGGTGCCCTACGTAATCCATTGATGTATTATCGTGTTCTTAAAAAATAAGCAGGTCAAACTTGTCACGGATATCCGCCACAGCTTCTTTAACGATTTAAAGGTGCTTTCGTTACTAAAGGCCAGTCGTGAAGTGTAACCTATAGTTCTATCCTGCGGTACCTGTGAACTACTTTTAAAGAATATTTGTCGAGTTACCGAAAATACGTATGACTCTTGCACCCCTTCGGTCATATTGTAAATCCAATCTGCCGAAAACGCGGTAGCATTGTCCTACCAGCTAGACATGATGGAAATGAGGTATGTTTTTTTCGCACCACTTTTTTGGCGCTGTCTGTAGGATGATGCTCATGATTGATTCATGGGCGGTCAATTCTGTGCAGACAAAATCCAGGGTCGTAGATGACATATCCTATACGATCTCATACAATCTTGAAAATCGTTCGCATCCAGTCTCTCAGTAAGCGCGTTTGCCTGTCTACCTATTATAGAGGGTGAACTAAAGATAAAGAGATGGAATTCTGAAGAAACCATCTTCGATGGGTCTCCCATTTCCTTCCACGATCAGGGAACTAACAGCTTGTGTACAGGACAACTTGTTCTATGCGATCTCAGCGATAGACAACTATATACCTAAACAACGTATGTAGATTTCGTGAAACTTTCAATCTAAGAGAATAAAAGTTCAAGTGAACATATTTGATGCTACAGCGTCATATTTGGCAATATGATATCATCCATAGCAATGGATGACACATTCATCCGTTTCGACTTAATTCAGGACGTATTTTGTGCAGGACGTACTTAATACGGCAACTAGACCGCTGCATGTATATCAAAAGAACTTATTAAGTGGTTCTCTAACTAATCAAGTTGAACGAAACGTGTGCGTGGAAGCGACCAACAACCAAAATACTTTGCGGAAAGGCTACAGCAGTTACATATGTGGATCGATATTGAATCGCTCAGAAACCTCAGAACATCCGATTGTGTATAAGACGATTCCAGCACAACAGTCTTCCTTAGATAATCGACGTGCGGATTACTAAGCATGTACATTCTGGAAATACTCTTTTCCAAAAATAGGTTTTTGGCCATTGTAGCATCTCTACCATCAAGTAATGATATCAATCTAAAAAAGTGTATTTTTTGAGGACTTTGAATTGGGATCCACTGGCCTATGAGTTGTATTTGGTGTTAGCAGCCGATACATGCGTCGAGATACGGCAAAGAAGTTCTTGAAAAAACTTTTGCAAAGGGAGTGTCTACGATGAAGTCGCTAGAATGAAAATCTGCCGAGCATATTATACATACGAAGAAATTCTTGTTACAGTGAAGTCATTGAAATTGAAACGCATACAGATTGGTGTACGTGGGACCTTCACCATTATGAATTGCCTATTCTTCTCAACAGAACTGGAATACCTATCGATCCTCAGAGGAAAAGGTGCTCGAAGGTTTCCAAAAGACAATGACAGATTTGAAGCTCAAATACTTGGACCTGTACCTAATTCATTGGCCGTTCAGCTGGAAAGAGGATGGAGAAATCTTTCCTAAAGATGATAAGGGCGGCTTCTACACAACAGATGCTGACTTCATGATAGCTTGGAAGGCAATGGAAAAGGTACTACGTTTAAAATAGCTGTAAAAAAAAGAGTCGCTAAGATGTTTACCATTATTCAACTTAATACACAACTTAATAACTAAATGTTAATCCTATATGAACAAACAGTGATGGTCTGCTCCCGCAAGTGATCATTGTTTCCGTTACGCATTGTTAAGTGTCTTCGGTGTTCCTATATTCATATGTAAATACATACATAGCAAGAATATATTCATACGATATTGCACGTATCATATGTTTTTTTGATTCTATATATTATAGCTCTTGAAACGGAAATTGCTACAGCCAAATAATATTAAAGAGAAACTATATATATATATATATATATATATATTATATCATACATTAACGTCTTACATGCGGTGCTTTTTCCAGCAGTGTAACGTTGATTGTTATTAGCAATTAAATGCTATTTTTAAATTAATGGAGCGAGGATAGATTTACGGAGTTCCATTAGCTCCGTGAATCCATTCTCTTTTATTATTTATTATTTTTTGTTCGTATTTAGAAGTTAGCCTTTCACCTGGAACTTAACAACCTTATTAACAGTAATATACTGCGGCCTTAAGTAGTCATAGCATAGTTGATCGTTTACGTACCAGTATACCTATTTAACGAGGCATCTCTTTTTTACTTCAGAAAATTAACACTATTGGAATTAATTTCAGCTTCAAAAAGCCGGCAAGGTCCGCAGTATCGGCGTGTCGAACTTCAACAGTGAGCAGATTAGCCGAGTCCTTGCTGAAGGCTCGGTAAAACCGGTTACTAACCAGGTAGAAAGTCATACGTACCTGCAACAGGAAAAGCTTCGCGCATTTTGTGCTGAACATAATATTGTCATCACAGCGTACTCTCCACTTGGTTCACCCTACAAGCCATTGTACGCAGGTTCAGTTCCCGGACCTTGTTCCATAAATGTCCAGCTCATGCCACAAAATCTTTAAAACCGATCTAGATTGGGTTTGTTTCTATGATATAACAGTTTAACAGTCACTACATTTTGTCAAACAGGACGGAAGCCTCATATACGCATAGTCAATTCCCATCGCAATTTAGAAACTTTCTTGGAAATCTAACGTATTCGACTAACACCATAATATTATTTGATATATTTGACCCTAATCTACAACCACCTTCGCTTCAGACAGCGCTGATAGTTTCTAATAGGTCATAAAATTAAGGACCACTATTTTCTCCGCGCGTTGTTACAGTGCCTTGGATGGGCCCATTCCAATAAAGCACCCAGCGTTAATCGATATTGGCAAAACACACGGGAAGAGCCCGGCCCAGGTACCAGTATAAAGCAATTCCGTATTATTTGATTCGTGATACTCAGATTGTGTCGCTTGATATAAATGCCTGCCGGCACTTTTTCACAGCTTCAACTTCCAGCGTTTTGAAATTTTACATTCATATATACAAACCCCGCATAAGCTGTGTATCTTCATGAATTATATACTTGTCACTCAGTCAGTTATTAACACCCTTACGCAGGCAAACTTAATAATGATAATATCGAGAAAAGTGGTTGATTTTTTGTTTGAACTTCACTATATCCGTTAAGCTTTGCGACAGAAAACAGACTGAGATTAATTGAAGGTTGTTTTTTTTGTTTATTAAAAATAACATAAAAAATTCACAGGTAATGCTCCGGTTCCAGCTGCAGCGTGGTATAGTTGTCATACCAAAATCAACAAATTATGAACGAATGAGGGAAAATTTTCAGTTATTCGATTTTGAATTAACGCAGAGCGAAATGAATACGATCAAGAAACTAGACAAAGCCTACAGATTTGTATCGATGGATGCCATGAAATGTCATAAGTATTTTCCCTTTGGTATTGAATTTTAATTTTGACGACTGTTCTATTGTCATCGTATTCAATAAAGCTGTGTTTTTATTCATCTACCATCTAGTCATTTTTCATCTAGGCAATCCCTTTAGACTCGCTACCTTCTGGACGGAAATCTATGTATGGGTGTTCATTACAGATCATTATTTATATATATCATCGATATTACAGTTTGTTTGTAATAACTTAACAGCTAATGGTAAATTCAGAATATGCAATGTTATCCAGTCTTCCTAGATGAGGATTTTTTGCCGAAAACAAAAATAACTTCCTTTACTAATAGAAGCGTTATAATATTTAGAAGAATTGTCAAAAACATATAAAAAATTGTGGTTTTATTGGAACAAATACCATTGACAGTGATCATAGATTAGGGGTAGTCATATATTTTGTTAGGGCTTATCTTCTTATCATTTGTAATTCACGTTCAAAGCGTATAGTCTATACCGATATTTCTACGTTCCTAGAAGAAGTCTAAGCTAACATATACTTCTTCGTGATCATTAACTTTGTGATTTAGCATAAACGGTAGAGTCACACGGATTAACTAGTGAGAAACACTACGTCTCAAGGACAAAATCATATTTATAAATAGTGTAGCTTATGACGGCCCCCACCAGCGGTTTGTTGTCGTTTCAGCAAAGAGACCCATTGCCCTAGAAGGGCCCTTGCCAGCTCTTCGTCATTTGGAATATCCTGATCCGTTTCTTTTTACAGGCGTCGCAAGCAGCCCATGTACCGAACATGTAGTGGTGTAGCATACAATAACAGTGGCGTGATTTTTAACCGGATTTTTTCTTGTGACAAAAAAACAGTAATATTTTTTTGTAAGGTTTGTATAAGGTAAAAAGAAACGGACTAGGTTTTCTAACCGGGATCTGATAACATGAACAGATGTTTTTCTTTCAATGTTAAACGTTGGCAGAGGAATGACGCTTTTCAGACTAATGCTGTGAAATGATTTTGTGGAACATCGGTTAGTACTGCACTACTAGTGATTATAACTGAATATAACCAACTCTTTTGAGAGTTGGTAGGCCACCAATACGTCATTACCCCTCATCGTTGACTGGGATTTAAATTATCGCGCCTTGCCCACATGTCCCAACACTCCCTGCGCCATAAGCCACATTGGGCCTAGTTAACAATCAACGCCCGTCCCTCTCTGTTAGGAAGTGAGAATATGGCGACTTGCTTAGTTTCTTCCACACAATCTAGCAGATTGGAAGCAGCCATGGACGACAAAAGTCACGAAAACGGCGAACCTCAGAATATATGGTGAGCTGACTATATGACAACGGAGTGTGTGAAGTGTTATTATCTAGTCTCTAAATTGTCTGTTGTTGCTTGCTGAAAAGACCTTTCCGGCAAGTCAAGACCAGATACAGTTCAGTTTCATACAGAAAAAAAAAGCTAATAATGTGGAGAAGTGTCGTTCAACGCTGGGGCGTACTTGTCAATGTGTGGTGTGATACGCCGTGAATAGGCTGATTACGACGGTTCTTAATCATCGATCTAAGCTTGATCATCGCTAAGGCCTGTCAAACTGCCGAACCCATCATATAACTTATCCACGCCGGCCACAAACATCAAAATAGATTATTGGAAGCAGTTAAAAACTGGCAGGTTGTACCCGGCTGAGCAGGTGATGATACTATATCTTCGCTATCTTCAATATGCAGGTGCCGCTTGCGTACCTTTTTACGTAGTAACATAATATTGTTCATATCTTACTAGGCATACGACCGCAAAACGTGTCGGTGCTGCCTCTAGGCGCGTGTCACCGGTGTCGACAACTGCGATGACACCGTCGGTTCTTATATAATGAAATTCTAATAGTTACTTTTGTAACTCGAAATTCTCTCTCGTGATGCTGGGCCTAGTTTAACTAAATGGCGCTCAATTTTTTTATTTGTTTGAGATGAGTTTTGTTGGCGATATACGATGCGGGAAATGGGATCCCTGGGGAAAGAGCTGTTCGAATTATGCCGTGTCGTATGACTAGTAAAAGCTAATTATCCTTTTACTATGTTTAGTGCAGCTTTTTTTAAATCAGGTGGTATCAAATCCAGTGGCATAACGTTAGGCGATCCAAAAGCCACATGTTGAAAGGCGATGATGGGAATATCTGGAGACTTTTGATTAGTTGATGGTCGTAGCTTATTTCTATGTGGGCTTTGTTTTCATGGGGTTGATGATGCCGGCAATGAAAACCGGCTAGCCATTCATCCCGAATGGATTACACTGTGAATGACGTGTGGAATTTTTTTTGTCCGCAAAACATGGAGATATTTCGGTTCTCGCTGTTTTGTGGTGTCCGTTGCATTTTAGCTACTTTTAATACAAATCATGCTGGACTGCCTTTCCTAATATTGTCTATAAACAGGCATACTTCTGTAGACGTAGTTGCGTTTCTGGTGTCTGATGTCAAGCTTAACATGAGACATTACATATTCCTGATCTGGCGGCCGTGTGTGCCGTGATGGGCTATACGACTAGTAACGGAAGGGTGGAAAATGATTCAATAATTCATCCAGTATAAGCCAAATCGGGAGCCTATCGGACGGACGAAAAAGTCGCAATTGTATACTTGTAAAAGCCAAAAGGATAACATCTATAAATGTGTATTTGTGAATCTGGTCTGTTTGACTGTGTTCAGCTTTTGCCACAATTCAGTTGCATCTGCTGTGTTACGTAAGAGCCTTTGGTATCCGTGGCTTGTATCAACCCCGTAATAGCTTAGTGGATAACGTGTTTTTGCGTGCTTATCTTAGGGATACGTTATAGTGTAGGTTCAAACTCGGGCACTGATAGACAGATTTTGTTTTGTGCTGGGAATCAGCCAGCCGTCTATCTAATGGAACTATGCCTAACGGCTATACCGAACGTAAAGCTCGAAACATAGAGAGTTATGTTAACTAAGCCTATGTATCATATTTCGCGGCAAGTCGTAGATCTCCACGTTACCCTTATCAATTGTACAGTCATTTAATTATAGAGTAGGTATATAGTATCTAACTTGAAACGATCTACGTTGAAACGACTGGTTGATCCGCATTAATAATGTTTGGCCAGTGACCAAAAATTGGGCAAAGAAGCAATTGAAGAACTACATCGATCTTGAAAGCCTGTTTTGATTTGTTACCATTAGGTAAAAATAAGTTTGCAGCACACATGGCTCTAGGAATACCTTTTGACATATTCAGTCCTTTATTAATGAGAAATACGAGAAATAAGAGTTATTCTACTAAGATATTCACTTAGATACAAATGAGTACACATTGTTTCAAATTTTAGGCCTGGAAGTGCGGTGAAGTATTTTTTCAAGCAACTGATCTTAAGTACAAATGAAAGTTTGTCTACGTCCTGCTTCGAATTCAGATTACCACATCTCCCGAAATTTACATATTACAACTACACCATCACGTAGACTCCATATAAATACCATATGAACAACTGATTTTTCCTCTGAGCATCTCATTAAGAGTGTCTGTATATGGTTTGAATCGGAAACAGGTACTTTTTGCAAACGAGCCCATAGTAACTTAGCACCAGCTGTATAATAATCGCGTTTCAGTGTCAAATTTTTGTTCTGTAATGGCGGTTCCAAACATCTATGAGCTGAGTAAAACTTAAAGATCCCTATCGTCATTCTAGGTTTAGTGTTATAGAATTATCTAAAATGTTATTTCTTCATTCATGTTGTCTTTGATTATAGTATTATTGTATTATATATATTATATTATATTTCCCTTTGCATCGTCGTTTTTGGTATTTATTTAGCTCGATAATCACACATCTTCGTCAACCTGAAATACGTATAAGGCTGGCTTGACATCAAACCTTTTTTCCGTTCAAAAAATCGCGAACTATAGATAAACAAGTGAAGGTGACTATGACTGAACATATACCACCTCCTTTTTTTAAAAGCAATTCTTTTGATAATTGTAAATACCATTCATTCATATACGAGCTGCATTGTTTGAGCTGATGTCCGTACATTAGCCGTATCGAATATGCCAGCGGAATAGTTTGAAATTAAAGAACCAGGAAATCTTAATATGGACCAAAATTAGGCTTTAGTCATTACTACCCACACTCTTCAACACATACCTTGTTAAAAGATACCTTGTTGCCTAGAGGAAAATATTTGATATGGATGAATATCAGTAATTCTTGCATTTAATTTTCTAAATATTAGTGAAAGATCGACGTCAATTTTACACTGTAATATATATTTATATTAATAAACAAAAAATATATATTTATATAAATATTTATATTAATAAAAAAAAGTTAATATAAAATAATAATAAAAAATCTATAATCATAATAATATTTTTCTATGTCCACCATCTTTACCGTTCAATTAGCAGAAATAATTATTTGCCGGTCTGATTTGCGACTTTGTTTGTAGTCTCGTCGATAAGTCACCTAAACTGCTGATTCGACCCTTTGTTACGATAGTGTGGGTGAAAGAAATCCCGTAACGGGTTGCTCCGTCATATACTCGACATTCAGTGTTTAGAATGCCTTGGCAGAACTTGAAAGCCCTATGATTTTAGTATTTTTATGCATAGGCAAGCCTCTTTGATGAGACTCGCTGCAGATCTTTATTGTGGCTGTCTTAGTGATGCGATTTGACACAATAGAAGACTTAAATCCCCTTTCATAAATAATAAGGCACACTGTAGACGAAAATATTAATTCATGGAAGGTTTAAAACATGTATACAAAAAACTTGAATTTTGGGAACTTATCTAAAGGAAGAAGTTAGAAAAGCGCCGAAGTTAAATCTAAACCTGTTCTACTGGAGATAATCGCAATTATCATGTACGGTGCTGCAGTGGACTATATGGAATAAAGGGAATTATCAAGGACAACGTTATATTGGTAAAAAATAACTATTAGTGCATATAAGACAGCGAAATACCCTTCCTTCTCCTACAATCAACTTCATATCCATATACCGACTTCTTGCAGGTCTTCCATTCTAAAGCAGGTGCAAAGCAGTCAACCCAACAAACTTCCCTCACAGAAGAGTTTACTCGTTCTCGGTAAGAAGTGTACCCTTAAAAATGATAACTCTACACAATTCTTCGAATATATCATCTTAATGTATCCGGTAAAAAGTAATGTATTTATAACAAAAACGATATTGCTTGCTTATTCAGTTACGTGTATATAATCAATCAAACTTCACTATGACGTCCATCTACGTTCTCAGGTGACAATGAAGTTGGTAAAACGACTCTCATGGGAAAATTGGCGGGGTCGACAACGGATGAATCTAGAAAAGGCTCTGGTCTCGAATATCATCATTTACTGATCAAAGATGACTACACTGAAGACACAACGCGGCTGGGTGTGTGGGTAAGTTGTCAATTTTTATTTTCCTTTTGTCCTGGGACTATGCTTTTAAAATTGAGCTTTTATAGTTTGCCCAACGATTGAGTTTATAATCGATGATAAATGGGAATAACAGCCGCAAGCAACACTCACAATAGTGATAATGTGTCTATCCATTAAATTGAAGAACTGGTCGGTTCGAATTTTAAACGAGAATTATTTGTTTTCGTGCTAAAGATTAGCGCTCTAGTGTAATGCTAACGCAGCTTTGGAAAATCAAAACATATATGTATGCACCTTAGTGAAAATATCAAAAATTAAGCATAAACAGCAGTTTGTGCGCTTAGTTACTAAAACAGAAGTTAGGATGGAAGGGAGGATGAGATCCACACAGATTTACTATCAAACAATTATTGCACGTTTCATATAAGTTAATGATAAACTTTGCCTTTTTACTGCGAGTGCGTTGTATGAGAGAACAATATAGATTAAAAAACTGTACGCTAATCCACAATGGAACCTGATATTTAAATAAGCACGATACCTGGACACTTTGAATTAATCCTTTCTTTTTATTTATTTATCTGTATTCAGGTATTGGATGGCGACCCTTGGCACCGTAATCTGTTACGGTTTGCTCTTAACGAAGAGAATCCTTCAATGCAGGATACCATGGTTGTTCTCACAGCGTCTATGGCCGTTCCTTGGAGCATCGCTTCTTCGCTTGAAGCGTGGGCCAATCTCCTTGAAGAGCACATTTCCAGACTCAAACTCAACCCCGAGTATGTAGAGGCGTGTAAAAAACGTATCCTCAGACGTTTCCAGGTAATTATTGTGAATCCTTGTGAGCTTTTGGGGCAATTTTAAATAGGGCAATCATTATTTTTTTTTAATATAAGTGGCTCTATTGTCTTCAAGTTGAATTGGTGCGTGATATCATTTTAAACCTTTCGGATTAACCATGCAGGTCACATGACTTCAGCTGAGAGAAAAGCAAAGGTTTCCAAGCTAATCATTAGCTGGTTTTCTATTTAACAAGGTTTTGTCTAATGGGCATGCAAGAAGAAAGAGTAATTATATCACTTTTTGTAGGTTCTACCTTCTTACTTACTGTCATTAAATTAAGATCTGAAGTAAGGATGGCCGTCGTTCTATTCATGGTTGCTATGGTAACGTCAAAGCTCGTAAATGGAGCGGCATGGTCTTTGCGGTTAATACGCATATCTCTGCCGTAGTAACTATGGATAAGTTCTGGTATTCGCTGGAACTACACTGGGTCCAATGTCGGTACTGGCAGATCGTATGCATGAGTTGAAACAAAGTGACAATTCATTCCAGTACACAAAGGTCAATTACCCTAGCAAGTATGAACATTTGCGTCCTCAAACCTGTTCCCTTTTAACCTGTGCAGGAATATACGGATCCTGGAGACGAAGTGTCAAATGGAGGGGGCGATACTAGTCCTATGCGACGTTCATCTACCGCTCAAACCTTTTTAAGTGAATCAATTCACGAGCGAGACGAACGGGAATTTCTGCCCCTAGGAGAGGAGACGTTTACCCACAATGTTGGCCTTGATATGGTTGTCGTTATTACAAAGGTAATTAGTTAAACCCAATTTAAATTAACGTAATTTCAGCAGTAAGCTAAGTAGCGAGTATTGTATAACCATTATTATTAGCATTATGTTATCCAAATTGTTGTAAGCTAACAAGTTTAACTATCTCGCATTTCCGAATATGTTTCTTAGTTATGTTCCGCTCGCGAAATGTCTCTCTAATAGATGTAGACAGAAATAACTTTACTTTTTTTTAATAATGATCGTGAAAAAACGTGTATTTATAATAGTGTTGAATATAAATGTGTATGTGTTGTTTTTCCCTCTGTCGATTTATGTCTATTGAATTATAGACGGACACAATGCCCTTGTTGGAGAAGGAACATGAATATCGTGATGAGCATTTCGATTTCATTCAACAGTGGGTTCGACGTTTCTGTCTCCGATATGGAGCAGCCCTGGTCTACACTTCAGCCAAAGAAGCAAACAATTGTGACCTTCTATTTAAGTACATTTCGCATCGTATGTATGGGGTACCGCACAAATTCGTCACCCCTGGTCTTGTAGTTGAAAAGGAGAGCGTATTTATGTAAGTGTTCATTTTAGTTTGATGTAAGTAAACATCTAACCTACTTTTTTCGCTAGTAGATACGAGCTAAGCTGGCAAGGCTGTGCAGTAAATACTGTCGAGTAGCAAAGCTAGCAAGTAAATAAAATCTAAAATGGGAATTAACTTTATTGCGTGTAGGCTCTTCGTCGGAGTTATATTCGACGTCACCATATTACATAATTTTCAATTTAATTTTATATTTATTAAAATAATATGAATTAATGAATAATTCAATAAATAATAAATTAAACTTTAAATATACTGGGTCGGGGAGAAGTATTGACCGTTTTTTTAAGACAAAACTGAACCACATATTTTTATATTCGAAAATAATATAATCACGTTAAATCTATGCCATTTTGATCGGTGACCTCCTGCCATTTTTTTGGCAGTATCATGCAGTTATGACTACGGAACTTTGGAACTTTGGTGGACGGATTTCTGGAAGAAAGATTGTGATGAGTTATATTTACATCTATATACTTAAATAATGCTATATTTAAGGGCATTCGGAAGAGACCCAAGCACACGATGGTTTGGTGGCGCAAGATCATGGACTATATTGCGGGTGCATTAAAATTCCCCACCCAAGTTCTATTCATTTTTGCCGGGTATATAAAGACGTATGTGATTTGACATTGCCATGGTGGAGAACGACGCCTATTCCGTTCACTAGCTCCAGTTGATCTCCTTTAGTCGTTTGTTGTAGGTTGTTGGCGGTAAATATACGAATCAGCGTTTTACCAGACGGCAGTAATACATAATACACGATTCCTTTACAATCCAAAAGGGTATCATTTTTTTGCCGAAAGCCTGGGCATTGCCACAGATTGTAGTGCGCATGTTTTTTATTTACTCATTATTGATGTATGTTTTCTATCTATCATCACCCATGATCAATGTCTTTAAAAATGACTCAACTTTGTTGCGTTTCTGTAAAGCCCCGCAAATGAAAATATGGAAAAAACATCCATTTAGTAGCATCCGATAGCAACTAAATATCAAGCTTTTTTTGCGGCCAGCTTTCTTCAAACTATTTGGTGATAAATGTTTAGTTCATTAGCGGTGTCATAGCCACTCACGTATCCATCTTGTTTAACTTTTGCAATAATTTTATTAACTTCTTTCGCAGCTGATCGACCATAACGAGAAGTATTTTTCACGTCGAAATATCCAGAATAAAAGCGACAAAACCATTACTGAGCCGTACCCTCACTGACGCATATTGGCAGTATACAGCACAGATTTTTTTTATGGACTAGGGTAGCATTTGTGGTGTTATCACAGTAAAATTGTAAAATATAGCAAATTCTTGTAGTATTTATCTTCAACATGTTCTATCTTTAAGTTCAATAAAGGCATTCTAACAATGTTAGCACATCTACGATCGCTAAATATAAGCTTTCAAGCGACTATAACGGCGATCCGACGCAACTCATATTGTCCAGGATATCTGACTTTAAATCCATCTAATTAGAATAATTTTTCCGATAACTCATATATAGACGGTTTAGAATGTAGTTTTCATGTGATGCTTTCAGACCCTCTGGGTGGGATAGTGAAAACAAAATTGCAATATTATATGAGAATATAAAATCTGCAAATCCCGACGACAGCTTCTCTGAAGTAATTATGAAGCCTCTCGTTCGAAAGGTGAGCTTTTTCCCATGGTCATGATTTCCATAATCCATAATCAAAACAGTTGTGCATATTGAGTTGTAATATGGACAATACATTTTTTAACCTTAGCCACATAGCACTGAACTTATAACGCACAACAAGTATTTAGTAGTAATAAATAGTTTTTCTGAGTATTTTGGCGGTTTTAAGATGATTGATCGATTGTTCGGTATGTAAGATTATCTAAGATTCATATGAAACTACTACGATGTTCTGTTACGGATCTGTAGTGGCAATTAGAACAGGGTCTCCTCTATGCAGCTTCCAAGCAGATTTCAAAATTTTCGTAGTCAGCTGTTTAATTTATTTAATAAAACGAAAAAATAATTTGTTTTTTTTTGACTTCTATTTTAGCCAAAACTAAAGCTGAGCCAACGTGTGAGTAGGACTGGGTGACCGCTCTGGCTTTATACCATATCCATCCAAAATAAATAGTATTAGTTATTGCAATTCGTCAATCTAACAACCTGCTTTTGTTTCGCACATGCATAAATTGCATTATCCATTAACAGCGACGTTGCTATGACCCGTCTGGATACATCTGTTATGCAAGAATTAGGTAAAAAAGGTAGTAAGCATTTTTCTTGCAACTACTATTTATAAGATTTAACGCTTTATTTCGTTAGCCTTTACACCCACATCAATCACCCGTCCACACCACTCACGTACATTTACCTGAACTATACAAGTACAAAAAATGTATGTTCGGTTCCTGTTTTCTATAGTGTATACCATTCTTTTATCGAACTATAGCAGTCGGATTTCATTATTGATGCTAGTTTGGTGGCAGCAATAGGTTTCAAGGGAATATGGATGACGTAAAGAATTTGCAGCAGGTTGAAAAGGCCACCCCGCTGGGTGGGCGGGAGTAGTGAACACTTTTCAACAGTGGCCACAAAGACAAATGGTTCCACGCGTCGGGTCGTATCTACGTGGCCTCTAACATCATGTGAGCTGAAGATCGTGACGCGGATGGACAACGGGACATTTTATAGCACAAATTGCACGACCGGTTTCCTTCAGAGAACGTCGTGTGTCCCATTTTCTTCGAGTCGAGGAAGACGGGAGAGGGATGCATGAAAGCCAAGCGGGTTCTCATGGACGAGGTGTAGCTCAATCACAACGCTGCGGGTTCGCTATACAGTACTAAAAAAAACAGCGAGCTCGACTTCCTCTGCGAACCTCATCGTGGCGGTAAATTTAAACTTGGCGCCTTAATTATTATTTTATTATTATTAATCGTGGCGCCTTGATCTAAATCGCCCCGCTTAAAATGCCGGAGCATCATGACGAGGAAAGGTTGTCTGCTTACCTTGGCCCAGACGGAATCTGTTATCGGTGCAGAGGCACTGCCAGGTTAATTGCTACCGTATGCGGCCGGCAAACGTCGAGTCAGGCCAGCGCAGTCTTGTCGCCGCTAAATTCATCGGGATCGTCAGCCTATCGGGGTTAGAAATTGACGTCGCAGACGAAAAGCGTGGAACTACTCCGGACCGCACTAGACACCGGTGCGGCCGTCCGTGCAAAACATCAACCCATGCTTCTGGTTTTGGCTGTTCAATGATTCTTCGAACTGGTTCAAGCTCAACAGCAACCATTAGCTGTCGCCGGAAAAGTACAGGTCGAGATCGGAAAGGATTAGGTCTTTACCTGATTCTCTCCAGTATCCTCGACAACTTGGAGCACGATATAGTCTTCGTGCTGCTATTATTCAGATACTATTTTGTTCTGGCTAGAACTAAATTAAGTGATATGTCACAGTATGTGTCGATTGGTTTCCATCTTGTCTTGGCCAAGAAATACTAGTTGGTTTCTTCAAAGACGCCGAAGTAGGTAGTCGTGATCGTCAGGTTGCTGAGGTCCAAATAGTTCAAACGAATGAGATCCTTAATGCATCTCCTGTAGGTACGGTCGTAACACCTCATCGCATAGTGGTTACTGATCTCGTAGTAACCACCCTTGAATGACGGTTAGTGTGTATAAAGGAAAGTTCGGTCGGGCTTAAAGATAGGTACCGCCAACGGATCGAAAGCCCGCCGAATGCTCCTCCGTCCATTAAGAAAGCCGCTCCAGTTTATTATGAGCAATCGCTTGAATTATTCTGCCGTATGCATTTGATGAGACCGCTGATAATGAATTCTGGCAGTTAATCGAGGAGCTGGGAGAGCTACTCGTAATGAACTTTGCCCAACAAATCATACCAACCGGTGATTATTAACGTGTCCGTTATAAGTATCATTAGGTTGCATTAGCGCAACAAGTTTGCATTGGGAAGTACAATGGATTTGAGATGACGACGAGATGGAGCTTTCGTCTAGTTCATGGACTCCTCTAGTCGTCTTGGCGAAGAAGCACGGTTCGATCCGATTTTGTAAAGTTTACCGCTTAAATGCGGTCACAGAGAAAGATGTTTTTTTCCTTGCCATGGTTCAACGATGCCTTTGACGTTCTAAAAAGAGCCGGGACGTTCTTCGTTTTAGACTTGACAAATTCGCCTGCGGTAGGTTGTGTACCTCAAATAAACAATTTCCTCGCTGGAAGTCATTCCTAATTCAAGGAACGTTGCGTCGATAGATCCCTTAGTGCCACCCGTTACTGTTCTTTAACTATGGAACTTCCTAGAATCGACGCCTTATGAACGCCAGCCCGTGTGGAACTTGTTAAAGACGAAAAACCGCCATACAATTTATTCATTCTTTTTTCTTCGGCCCCGCTTCACCAGAATGTGTTTCTGCCATAGAGAGAGTACCCCAAGAAGTGGATGCATCTCGCAATATTTCCGAATAGGTTTATCGATCAAGGTATAGGCTGATGCGAGGGGCGCCGATGTAGAGTCAATCTTCGACCACGTTAAAAATGTAGATCAACTGGTAGCCTATGCAAACGGGCATACTTCGGGGATACGGCATTTGTTAGAGATGGTGTTTGTAGAGGTAAAGAAATTGCAACCTACCGGCATCGATTCGTGATGATTTGCTGAAGTATCTGCAAAGTGAGGAAAACTTTCGTCTCACGCTGGTGCGGTGAGTCCAGGAGCTAGTGGAATACGAAGTGGAGCACCGAAGCGGCACGGCAAATTGTAATGTAAACGTGCTGTTACGGCTGCATGTGGCCACACTTTGGAAAAAGCAGCATGTGGCGGTGCTGGCCCGGAATCGCTTTCGTTCTGACGCTATAGAGATGTGGCGGTCCAAAGATGGAATGACCAGCCGATTTCTGCTGCGAAAGCCACGCTGTGCAATTCCGTTCTGTAGGGTTTTCCGCCGGTTCTCCGGCGCTCGTCTCAGTTGGCGGCATTTGCTCTTTGTCATCCAGACTACCCAGGCGTAATAAAAGCTGCCCGCCGGTTAATCCTTGCTATTTTCTAGAGAGGGGTTCATGAGTAAAGATATGGTAACACGTTGCCAGTTATGGAAGCGGACGAATTGAGCCACGAGCGCCGTATGCCCTAAACGACTGTAAAAATACCTTTCGCACAGATAGGTCTGGATTTTATGGGGATACTTCGCGTGCCTAAAAAGACGCCTCTATTCGTGCTAGTAAGTATAGGCTATAGCACCACTTTTCCCAACCATGCGTCAGTCCGGACTGTGGTAGAAACCTTTCACGCCCTTCGCGACGGGTATGGGTCAATGGACGCGATCTCTACAGATATCGCTAACTACTTCCAAGATTGACGCATGCAATTGTATTCAGCATGTTCAAAGATTCCGCCGTAGCCCACCCTCAAGCGAACGGAACGGTGGAGTGGATGATCCTCACGGTTACCGAATACTTCTCCACGTGTTGCATGACTCTTCTGTTCTGCGGTGCTCCAAGCGGGTGACCTTACAGTGAACACTACATACAACAAGACCCTAAGCGCAACGCCATTGAAGCTACCTAACGGGTTCAGAACCGTACTGCCAGAGAAGCCACTGGTCAAAACCCGCTCGTTCGGTACTTAAGCTGCGGGTAAAGGCCCATACCCGGCTTCACCAGTGAAGGGTAGCACCCAAAAAGATAACCCACCTGCGCCGAGAGCTTCGGTCAGCTGTGGTTATATACCACTTTCCCGACGGCCGATCAATCACGGTGATTCACCGAAGTGAACCGATAATATATTACCGAAGTTCGTTATTTCGTTTACTATATATTATTGTAATTAGTAAGTTAGAGAAAAAATAGGTAGAAAGATAACGTACAAGCGAGGTATAAATATATAGACGTTTCCTTCCATAACTAATACTTTTTACATAACTGTATTGCTAATTAACTCGTGAATGTAGCCTGCATCATCATGTCGACAGAAAGAAGCAGAACTATCAACTAACGAAAATGCGATATGTGTTTCCTTTATATGCTGTAACTTGGCTATACAGCCCATTTCGCGGGAGCCTGAGGTATCCGCCGATGAAGATCAGCGATTTCTCGATCGGCTCAACGTCGCGCTACAACAGATGCCCTCGAATAATACCACTACAAAAACGGTACTTTATTTATTCGTAGATAACTACAACAACTGCATTTGCCAGGTTTTCCTGTGGTTGTATGTATCATAAAATAATAGCGATATACGTATACGTTTTATATCATACCATTCGTAATCACATCATCGCAGAAACTAGTTTTGATATACTTTATTTTTACTTGTCTTTTTAACTTACCTTATTTTTTGCTTTTTATCCTTACGTTTTATATTGCAACTAATTAGGTGATTAAAGGGTACATGAGTGTTTTACATTCAATACAGGTTGTTGAAACATTTATACTTTAGGGGCTTGTAAAGGTTAATGGTAAAGCATGAACAACATGGATTCAAATTATTTGAGTCAGTTAATAAGAAGGGCCTTTTCGTCGTGGTGATTCTTGTCTCATTAAAAACGGCTAATTCCTATCCATGCGGATCTATCCTGCTCAGTCTGTATAGAAGGATCTGTAAAGATTCACATTATTGAATCCTTAAGTATTCAAAACAAATCCCTCAAATGTTGGTACACTTAAAGTGCACTATTTAATGCTGATTTGTGAATATTCCAGATCATTCTTCAATGTTCTAACTGTTAATTAAGCTCCTTTACAACGCAACGTAAATATATTTGAAGACAGTTTATTTGCGCACGCTCTTTTTCTGTAGCTCTGCACCTTCGGCCTTTATGAGAATCACATCGTACATACACGGAGCGACAGCTGTTGAAAACAGGCTTAAACCATACGAACTTGGGCAACTATATAGTGGCAAAATTTATGAGTGTGTATATAAACCAGGATTATTGCATCAATATTCGTAGGTTTAATTCCATTATTGGTGTAAACTTTTATAGCCAAAAACATCTTTGCAATTAGCGATTCAACACTGCGGAAAGCAAAAGAGGTATTTCGAAACAGTAAGATTTTTTTGAAGTCTAGTTTTTTCATCACATGTAGAATTTGTTTCATTATTATTATTCTAGTACCATTCTGTTTAATCTTTACGTAGTTTGACTTTCTTGCCCCCGAAACCAAATGCTTTTTGTGCAAGCATGTTTGTGCATGGGTAAAATAATTTTACCCATGAATTTAGGTGGGATACTGATGCTAGATCAGTTTTTGTACAAAGGAAATATAGATTTAATTGATAAAAAAAATTCAACAATATTAATAGTAATTGGACAACGTCTGCAAACAGCCGGCCGTTACGTGTCGAACCTGGGCAGTTCGAGTAATTAATTGAACATAGAACCCCACACCTTTGGGTCCTTCCTATACTATACCTAGAACAAACTTGTTTGCTATATTTCAACTTAAATTATGCCGGCATGTAGACGCGATGTTGTCCAACAACACCTTTGAGTTTCGGTAATGAATGACTAGTAGCCTTTATTTGCATACTAGCATGTACTCTTGTTATATTTACAATCATCGTTATCGTCGAATTGTTTATTCAAGGGTCAGTCTGCAAAAACATCTAATTTAGTTTTAGAGGCCGTACTTTTTGCTATTTTTATTTTCTTTACAAGGTAGCATGAACCACGAAACTTTACGAGATAGAGATGAATCCATCGTCTTTAGTAGCAGGCCACAATGAACCTTCACTTGAGTAATAAGGAAAAAAATACGTTCGCTGTTAAAATAATTATATTTACCGCTCTATACGTAGCAATATGTAGACCCATTCGACAGCTTGCTGTAATCTGACAGATAATCACAGATAAATAGTTTATTACTCTCTAATTCTAACACCTGTTCTCGTTTTGCAATCTACTGTTTGTTCGCTGGTAATCGCATGCTGACGTAACTTACCCTAATTATTGAAGTGACAAACGTAATAATTATTATCATTCCTTCGAAGCTTTGTATGATTTGGCCTGTCAGAGGTATCATAAACCCCAGAAACCCAGTTTTTTATTTAATTTTCCTTATGCTTGACATCTATTTCTACTTTTTGCTGTCGTTTAAAACGAAGTGTTGAGTTGATTCGAAGCTTGCTGTTGTTGCCGCTGCTGCCGGTGCTACTAGTAGCGTGGTTGTTGTTGTTGTTGATTTTCGTATCATTACGTTGTAATGCGTGTATGTTGTTGAACGTGTCGTTGCATTGGTCACATTTGTTTGTCTGTTGCGCCGTTGAGTGAATTGCGCGTGATGCAATTTGTGCTCTTTTGTGTGACGCTGCTATTGCAGACCCCGCTGAAGTCGGACCGAAGGTCATCCACCGGGCCCACGGGGATCACCGGTTCCGGCAAGAAGGTCTGTATCACCACCACTATCAGCAACGATCATCAGTGATCATCATCATCACCATCATCATCGTCGTCATCATCAGTTATTATAATCATTCTCCACCTATCAATCACATACCACCGCCACTATCTAATCTGATCGCTAAACCTCATTATATAATACGCTAAAGTTGTATACAGTATACTATAGAAAACGTATTATATATCACAGTTTCTCCCAATATGTGCTTCTCTACGTCATGAGGCCATTACCATTTCTGCTTTTGTAGCTAAAGGACTGTCTCTTGCAAGCGTCATCTGATGTATTCCTTGGCGAGGGTAAACCGAAACGAGCAGGCTGATAGTAGCCTTCCTAACCAAAAGCAAAGTTAGTTCATTTATAGTAGCATTATCGTAGTGGCATGTATGCCTTACGCCTACAGTGTAGATTAAAACATTGTTGTATTGCGTATCATTGCATTCCACGTCGTTGCTTGTTGAAAACCTATTTCATTATAGCTAGTCATAGTCGCCTTCAGAATGTTTCCTTGCTCCCTGCTCTGATCCGGTACAGTTTTCTTCTATGCTTATTCTTCTCCGTAATCCTTGCTATTCAGTCAAAGTAGTTCTGTAGGACAAAACACAATGTAACCAACCCATAGTATATCTTAGGTCTTTCAAGCCTGGCCTTAAAAAATGTAGGTAAATATACGTTTCGCTGTATATTTACAGTTGGAAATAATAGTTATATGATGCACGTAGGGGTTTCAACTGTGATGAGAAAAATGTCAGCGGCTTTGTGGGAATTATATTACGATTATAATATAGTGTCCCTCAAATACAATAACCGATAATGTTTTTTGCTGTTTTGTCATAGCTGACTATTAACGAAGAATCTCAGATATAAAACTGATACACTTTAGCGTTGTGTTGTAGTAAAATATCGTTTCTTTTTTATGTTGATTTTTCATTTTTTAATTTTAGGTAATCTTGTTAGTATGAAAGCCATAGCATTTCTCGTTTTATATTTATTTATGATGTTATTATTGGCCTGGAAAACCTGCTTTCAAATTTTGCTCACCTTGAGCCCGTAGCATACCTGATGAAGTGACTTCAATCAGCTAATTTCTTTAAATAACAAATTATTAATAATTAATTTTGACATTTATATGCGTCGTTGCGTCGTGAATCCACTAGGACGACCTGCCACTCTCTCTAAAGAACCTGCCGCAGGTAATATACCAGCCATTGATTCGCTATCGATTTAGCACCAGATTAGCGTTTCTCACGTGGCCACGTGGCTCTCCGTGCTCGATTGTGGCTTTAACTGCTATTCATTGTCTTTTTTTTCTGCTGCTGATGTTGCTATCGTTGTTCTCTTTATCACTGTCACCTCATTATACTGATGTCACTGGACGTCGTTCACGCTTACTTTCTCCTTGAACTTTGTGGTCGTGCACCTCTTAATCTCGTTGAACTGTCTGAGATGATATTAGCTAGTCATTCGATGATCTTGTCCTCAAACAGCACCCATATCATTGTTTCACTTTTATGTATTATCGCTCATTACACTGCACCGTCGCAAGCACCCAATCAGTCATCGATCATTCCCTCAATCTCACCGAACTTTTCTTTCCAGTTGTGCTTATCTATCACTCACTCATACTTTTGTATATATATATAATACGTATTTTCATATCGTAGATGAAAGCATCGCAGTTTCTATATGTTTTTCTAATGATTTCACCAATCAACAAAGCGTTAGGCACACTACGTTTTTAACTTTGCACAATACAGTGTTATGGTAAGGTAAGCTGTCCCTTGATCTAGTACGATATACTTAGGACGCATCGAGAATGGGAATCTATGGGGCTCTTTGGGGAGCGGTATGTATATACATATATATAGCCTGTTATGGGAGCGTTTTTCACCAATTTGTTTCTCTTCCAGCCAAGGCTAGAAGAGTACTTTCAATGACGAAATATTTGTAAGGCCACGTATGCCTAATTTTATCTTAGACAATTCAATTTACATGAGTACATGTCCCAGTTCTGCCACAGAAACGTTGAGCCTCTTCACTTTCAGGTTGGGGATGACATGTCGCGAAGAAGCACGTTACTTAAATAGAGGTCTGTTAAAAAGTTCTGCTTGCATGACGCACAAACCAGGTTAACCATTTTATCCTCCAAAAAAATTCGTCTGGCGTGTGTCATTAGTTCTGCTGTTTTTTTTTGTGTAACTGTTATGTTTTTGATTCTATCAAGACCTATTTCGTTGGAAAATCGGGGTTTCCTTGCTCTTCTACCTTGTTCGACCTATTACATAATATAGAGTTAAAACGTCAATGTTAACCTTTATTTTTCGTTTTTTTTTTCTGTGTTTTATTCAAAATCTTACGTGTTGGTAATGTTAACTGGGGTCGACTTGTTATGGTGTGTCCCCTGCGATCTGGTCGTGATGTTTGCGTCTGCGTAGGTGGAACCTGGCAAGGGTATCTCAATGTCGGGCAACGAGGGCGTCCTTCACAACTTCTTCAGCAGTCTTCTCAACAAGAAGTCTGGACCGCCAGCAACGTCGGCGTCATCTGTGCTTAGGACTCCGGGTGCGTGAATTACATAATGCTGAATTCGCCTTATCAGTAAGATTACTCTTAATTAGATCTGAAATAGTAACTCATTCGAAACCTCTCTCAGACACTGATTGAGGATAAACTAACGAACAATTAAAAAAAATTGCTTCAGCATCCTATCAAATTGGTGAAGTGAAAAAATAACTAATGGTTCTACGTACCAACCGTAGATGAGTCAGGTATAAACATACTGTTATATAATATTTCTAATTAAATTTGCAGATAAGCAGAGCAAACCAGATGCAGCCTCTGAGTTGGATCGGCTAACGCGCTCGCTATCAAGGCCCACGGCGGGCATCAATGGTTCGCTTTCCGAGGGAACGGGAAGCAACGCCTTGTCTTTGGATCATCCGAGTTCCACACCACCTATGCAGCATTCAGCAGCAACAGCGCACTCCTCAGATTCGTAGGACTCACTGGTAACCTTTTACCGGCGCCTCCCGAGAGTGCTACCTGTTTATAAACTGTTAACCGCCATTCTCAGCAACGCCATCAGTTAGTGCAGTTATAATTATGTGACCTTATTCCGATACTTGTTTAATTAGAGACTGCGCATGTTAAACAAACAACCGAGGTATCAGTAAATATGAGGGCTTTCGTAACGACATCAGAAGTAAAGGCTCTTCGAATCCTACCTGCACCAGCTGGGAAAAGAAGTGTAACAGTGGGCAGACGTATCAATCGCCAAAAAGTCGCCCTTTTAGGTGACGATAGCCTGTTTTGATATTTGATATTTTAGTGCCTCTATAGCTGTTGTTGCCTTTGAAAATACAAGCTTGAAGAACTTTTTTTGTCACTTGTGACCTGGTCGTGTTTAAAGGAACAGGAACAGGTATCTAGAAGCAACAGCAACACCAACAATGAACCCTTATCGCAACCGCCTCCGTCAACAACCTCAAATAGGATACTATCCATTGAATCACGACGAAGTTTCCCGGAGCTAGTGACTTGGTTAAGAAGTGTTTCATGTGAAATTTGTTGCGTTGGTAGTAGTAACAGGCCCAACAAGGGCAAAGCAAGCAGGCCAAAGCAAGAAACAAACTGACAGTTGGGTCATGATAATTTTTGAGTGATCCCGCGGTTTGAAGGGAGGGATTGTTACGCTTGCCACTGTTAGAGCCTTGCTGAACTGTGAAAGTGATAACTGACGACTCGGCGATGGGAGAATTGCCGTTGCCTTTGTCATATTTTACGGAGAAAAAATTATGCAAGTGAAAAAAGGGCTCATCGAGCAGTTCCAATCTCGAATATGCGCGACTAGGAAAAAATGTACACAATCCGCCAGAATTTCGTTTAGTGAAAGTAAGTTCGCAGTTGCCGAGGAAGACTTCGAAAGAAAAATACATTACGAGGTTTTATATAAAACATTTCCGGCGATCCCAATTCCGTTGGTGGCTCGTGGCGGCAGTAGCGGTAGTAGTTATGTAATAACGCGTTGGGGTTCGTAGGAGATATCATTACCATGATGCCCATGACGACGGGGCGTCAATCTTTAATGAGTAAAACTTCAAAATAATAGTGGATAATAAATTAATTATGATGCAGACAATGAAAGAACGCCAGAAACGAAGCAAATTTTAGGTGGTAGGCGATATCTAGAGACATTCGTATGCACACACATACATATATAAAAAAAAATGTATAAAACAAACAAACACAAGTGTCTCATCACGTGTATCATCATGCGTTAGGTCGATTGCTCTTCTCGTTAAGGAAAAGGAGAAGGGTGGAGACGGTACGGGCGATGATGCACAGTCTTCTCGCAGAGAGTAGCAATTATCAAGAATAACAACTTGAGCAGCAACAGCGGCAACACACGCACCCAAACGCACGCATACAGGTTACGTAGAACGCGGTAGGAGAAATGAGTGAGAGCGAACAGCTGCCGTCGACAAGACAGCTGCGGCAGTCATACCTAGTAATAGATAGTATTTAAGTAGTTGTGTGCTCTTAATTTCGCTTTGTCATCGCCACAGATGATAAGGATAATAGCTATAGAAGTGGTATAAGAGCACGAACTATATTCAAAATGACAGGATTGATTGATTAAAGCGATTGCTATTACTATAGTTATTGGGCGCTGAATTGGATTGAATCTCTGTTGGATTTTTTATACGGTGGTCTTTGGTGGCTCAGCTTTCGGTTTAATCAGCCAACAGTTTATATGTTTGGCAATATTCTTTACCTATTTTCACGGTATGATGGTACGGGTACTCTTCTCGAAGACAACCGAGGTTTCATAATAAATTCGATTGATATATACTGATAATTTCAGTGCATATATCTGCGGTTACATTATGATAGTCTATAAGAAACAAGATTATCGCTATGGCTATTCAAAGCTTTGTGATTCTTTTGTTTGAGTTTAGGAACAACCTCATCACGGCACAACTCGCTTCCATGACTTAGTGCAATCTGCGTTAGTTGACACCAAAAATAGTGCGAATTATTTCCCTCCGTCCGTCCACGACGAAAAAGCCAGAGCCCTTCCTCTGGGTCCAGAATCAACGTGGTTAGACGAACGCGTTATTCTGTTTATGATTTAAGGGACACCCTATTGTTAACAAGGTAGTAGTCGAGTTAATTAACTACTATGCAATATTTAATAACGCGTTTCTTATCGGCTTAAAATGTACTGACTAATAGTTTCTTAAATATTTACAGGACTCGTAAAATTTTTACTAGTTTGTAGATTGGCTTATAAAATTTGTCAGTGGGGTTACTGTTCTACTTATTATTGAATTGATGAAGTGCCCAGCGAAGTGTGCGAGGTGCGGTCCACTAAGAGCTCACGACGCACAAAAACATTTTATTCGCAGTTTATGGCGGCGTTCATTACAACAATATGTCAAAGGATGATTGGTCGTGACGGTAAGCTATTTAACCTAAAAAAACTAATAATAACGCAAGCAAAAGGAAAAAATAACTAGAGCTAACCGTTTCCGTATCTAGAGTACACATGTCACTGTAAATAAAATTACAAAAGAAAACATTTTTGAATGAAGAATCCATGTATTCAGTATATGATTATAATTAGTAGTGAGGAGATACGCACTTCAATAGGTAAGCGTTGGCCATATATGCTAAAAGCTAAGGTGACGATAATTTAGCATATATGCAACAGACTTGCTATCCGAGATGGCTCTAACGTTACAATTTCACAGTGAAAGCCAAGTATCGAATCTAGGTTTTGAACTTCGTAGCGTAAGTAAATGATCACTTTTGTGATTATGTATTTTCATGACTGTCTGTAGTTTTATTAAATAGTAAAATATATAGACAGGCGGGGCGTTATATTTTGATCGATGTCTCCTGTGCGTTACTGTTCAGTAGATGAGGTAAAAATGGCAGGTTATAATTAAAACGATACAGGGGTAAATTATTGATCTTATTAGATATCGCGGTTCATATCGATCCCGTTCACCAGAAGCACTAATAACTTAAAGATTTCGAAGATGTTTACGTAATAAATTAAGTTTATTTGTATAGCTGTCATATTTACAGTGTAATTTATTGGATTATTTACATGTCCCTCACACGCTCTACATTTTACTAATATCTATGATCGAATGATTCACAACGTTACATTACCTTAATCTTGATTTACTATCTGCTTCCTTGTTCGGTCAGTAAGAAATGTTTAGAGCTCGTCATTATTGGGTTCATGCAACGTATACGGCCGACAAGCACAGTTAAATCACTCGGTACGACATAACCACTTCATAATTTAAAGATCACATTGTCATTTGATTTTCAATAATTATCTTCACAGTCATGCTCATCACTGTCCGTTATGTTCAGATTAAATTTGATTTAGGGCGCTTATGGTTTCCGCAACACTTTAGGTTTGTTAGTTTCTCAAAAGTTAAGGAGAATCACAAACTTGGTAGATTAGCTCAAACTGAAATTGAAAGCACTGGTATATACAATCTACGATAAAAATTGGAAAGGGCGATTAGAGTTTTCGACAATCATTTCTATTGATGCTAGCATCAACACTCATCTGTAGTATTTTAGCGAAACGAAGAACAAAATTTACTCAGTAAATATTAATGAAACGGTTCGAAGCAGTGTATAGCTCACACTTACAATTTTCTAAATTCTGTCTGCGACTTATGAAAATACATTGAATGAGGTCTATAGATACATATAAATTGCCGTCCAGATTATAAAGGTGCTGAATATAAATTACATATTTGATTGTGCAATTATTTTAAATAAATAGATGACCAGCTATGTAACATGGTCACTGTTCCCCTGATAAATAATTCAAATAAATAGTATACTAGAGAACAATCGTACTATGATTTGTGTACTATAGCTATTATTCTATTAAAACTATATATAATAAATACAGCAGCATCGTATTTGCCAGTTGGTGTCGTTCTGTTAGAAGTTTAGCAGAAAATCTACATGTTGTCAGAATCGTATTAGCGAATATGCAAGTCACTACGTTAGATAACAGTTTGTGTTTCAAAAAAGGCTTCGCTCGTGCCATTTGTCTATCGTGGAAAATTTTTCCGAAAATTTCGAAGCATTGTCGCCGTCTGGCCGATAGCCATATCCGCCCACATTGTGTTTTCGATCGCCTCGGAATAAACACAGAATTGATCAGTTTCCAACTCGAGACAAAGCGACCGCTATTCATGATACTTTCCGTTTGCTAAACCCTGCTCATTGTAGCCTGCCCTTTAGGAATTACCATAATCTTCTGAATAATTTGCATAAATACTCTGTCAGACAATAGTCATACCGTTACTCAGGACTGGATCATTTTACGACATGCTACAATATCGATACTGCCTGAGCACCAGTTGCGTAGATCCGATACAGAATTCGGGGCGTCGTATCAGAGACTGCTTACGTAGCATGAGCAAAGTAACCATTCTAGTTAATTTTAACTACTTTATGCATTACCCATTGAATATTACGTAATGCGCGTTTTGCTTTTCTGTCTGGAAGAGGAAGATATGAAGAGAACGTCTGCGGCGGCATTTTCACTATCTGCCAATTTATCCGGTTCTGTATTTGTTGATATATACGAAATATTTGCATTTGCCTTCCGTTGTAGCACTCAACCCCCGGATAGTCGGAGAACGCCTTCTACGAGTAATGCTTAGGGGTTATACGCCGTTGACTAAGAAAGTACGCTACCGTGGCGACGTAACTGACGAGCATTGCCGATGTGGTGATTGTGAGAACGTACAACGATGTACGGGAAGCACACTGGTTGTCATCCAATACATGACTCTCGAGTAGAACTGTAAAGCAAACATTTATTAACAATCACATACTTCGTCATGTATTATTGTACATACGTTTTCGATCTCTATTGATGAAAATCATTCGTTCGTACCTTCATTATGAATCAGTGGTTGGTATTTCTTATTTCTAGGCTAAAACGACCCTTCTTGGCTGTTTTTTTGGGCAGTAAATGGTCTTAATCCCGCTCGCTCGAAGCGATTTTCCTTGCACCGTTTTTGAGGCCAGTATTTCTCACGAGTCTCTGCCATTTACTAGCCGATTATATAGAAATAGGATGTTGTTTGTTGTAGGATTAAAACCTATAATAGGGTTTGGACACTTTTTTAGTGCTGGCTGATTAGATGAACAACAGATTAGATTGAGCCTGTTGTCACGTTGACACACATAAGGCCGATCGACGCCTTGCATATATGATAACGCTACGAGATTATTTGATATGTTTCAATTGTAACGTATAAACTCAGTTATCACGACGTCCCTGAAGTTTAAATATTTTATTTTATTTAATGTGCTTTCCGGTCATTTGTGTTTAAACGTAAAAAATAACAGAACACGATTTTGAAATAAATCTGATTTGAATCGGCGTCATGAAAAGGCTGGATGGCTTAAATCGTTGCTTTTAGAAGAAGTTGTTTATCTAAAGGAAGAACAGTTGCGAATCTAAAAGGAGGTCTTTAGTTCAGAATTTAAATGCTACAGAGATCTAACTCATTAAGCTACGCTAAACTAAACCATACCTTTATTGTTCGTCTTTCTCAAGAAATCGTTATTGCCGAAGGTGACTACAGATAAAATGGCCCCTAACGCCAAAAATGTTTGCCATGACAAAGTAACCAACGTGCGCTATAACGGAAGGGTCAACTTCGACTTTGAATTAGTGCTTTATGATTGTTAATTTACATTTTAGCTTGAACACTGCACAAAGCTTCTCCGTTCTTTTTACAATACACTGTTCACTCAGGAACTCGCTCTTTTCCTTTTACAGGTCTCACAATCCCTAGTGACTGTCTACGAAATTACTCTGTTCCAAAACGTAGGCCAGCTAGAATATATTTGTGCCGGTTAATGCAGCAAATGCGCACAACACGCGCCGGTACTCGGTAAACAGATTCATTGGAAATTCAGAACACGGATCCCAACGTATATCGAAATGATTGGCGGCATTCGAAATTACTAATGTCCTGCTGACCATCTCACAATTCGGCAGGCTTTCTTGTTGTAAGTTTATAGCAGACATGAATGGTTTTCACAATTACAGACTCCTACTATTATTACAGCCTATTTCTGTACTTCTAAGCAGACAGGTGACCGCCAGAGCAAGCATATTGGGTAAACGATAAGCACAAATAAAAGACAACTTTTGAGCCCACATTTACTCCTTTCGACCATCGCTTCACCCCTAAAACACCGTAGATTCCAGACGTTCCAAACCTTCTAATTTTCTGCTGATTCGTCTGCATAATTTGCCAGTGACTCATTCAGTGGACGTTTTGCTTCTTTGCAGAAGAGCGGGGTGTTTTTCGCTTTCTATTTTTTTGTTATTGCGCGTATCCGCGAAGCTCTGCAGCTACATTTATCTGTTTCTGCTGTGGTTCGCGCCCAATTATGCTTAAAGTTACACGGCGAACAACAAGTGCTTATCCACACCAGGAGACCAAAAGCAAGCAGTAGCGGTGCCGCAACGGAACGAGCAAATGGCCCTGGTGGCAAGGGACGCAACCATCAATCGTATCCATTGCCCAGCTAGTGTTCGTTATCTGTGTGTGAGTATTTCAGCCCCATCAAAAATTGGGCAGAGCAAACGGTGATGATGATGATGATGATTATAATAATGTCCAACTATAGCTATTTCTGGCGTTGAGGATCTGCCGTGGTGTGGAGCGCCCGTTCGTTTTCCGTTCGTTTCCTCACCTCTTTGCACCTCAGCACATTCGTTCGAAACGTATAAAAATCTCCCAACAGCTATTGCAATTATATATCAACTATTATTGTAATACGGATATTATTGCTTTACTATACTGTGGAAAACTAGACAAATGGTAATGACTATCACACAGATATTTATCACACAGAGAGACAGTAACATCGAGAAGGCAGTGTCACTGGTCGTGCGAGAAACAAATATCTTCTGACTAAATAGGAAGGAAGACTTTTTTTTTTACCGTTTAGCATTCTTCTCTATTCCCAATTTTGGACAATGATTGTTTACACCTGAGCATCTTCTATGCAAAGAAATCAAAAGTCATTTTTTTTAATATTTTGAATAATGTATATTTTCTTTGACACCACTGACAATGTGTCTACATCTCTCAAAAAACTCGCAGCCAACAGTTAGCTAAAAAAAATAAGTCATAGCTAAAGTTCGAGTTCTCTGTGCAAAAAGAACCAAAGGCTATTTTAATATATGTTGTCACCGCAAAAACGTGCAGCTTCGTTGCAGTTTTGAAAGATGCATTATCGTATAGATTGTTCCAGCAAAAGCGGAAAATTTGAATTCCAAATGATATACATGCCATTTTTGCTGTAATACTATAATACCTACATGATGAACCTATGTAAAAATTATCTATAGAACACAACATTTGGTACGCATTTCTTAGTTGTGCTGACACATTTACGTTCTTTTGACAAAATCTTCAATGATGATTCTTCTAAACCTGAGTGGCCGTGGATTTGTTAGCACAATGCTTTTTGCTGTGAAGAACCCCAGAGAGGCAAGTCTAAATGTTTTGAGTTTTTTTTTTTTCTGAAATCGCATTAGGCGGCTGGTTTCAAGCTGAAAACGAAATGTGTCCACGCCCGGATTCGAACCCAAACCATCCAGATCTCAGGGAAAGTTCAATGGTGATATACCATGATCTAGATCACCAATTCCGATCGCCCAGACGGGACTTTACATAATCAAGAAATGCTTTGTGCAATATTGTCATTATTTCGCGTGAAGTGCAGCAAATGGAACTGTTTTGTTAGAACTACAGATTTTCAAAGTGGCCAATGATGCCTTCGCCCCCAAAATTCGCACCAAACGGTAACAGGCTTGGCATATGTCTTCCCTCGGGAATCACATGTGAATCACTTCAAATGGGACTGCCCTACTTGTTTACGAAGCCATTAATATGGAAATAAGTTTTATCACAAAACACAATTTTTTCGAAAAACTCACGATTTACTACTTATTGTTCTATTACACAATTGACGAACTATTTTTATTAGATGTGCTGTTCTGTACATAATTCTCGCACGTCTATTTTCTGACGAAATCAGAATTTCTAGCATTGGATAAAGAAAAAATAATTTTTTACCTGGAATTTAAATGTTACGCTATTATTGGACCATCCTATATACGGGTGCAGCACTATAGTAGTCATTAAATAAGCAATTCTTGCCAAATATGTTACATATTCTAATAAAACCTCTGTCTAATCAATGGTGACCAGGTAGCATGTTTATCTAACAGATTCACCTGATGTATAATTTAACTAACCTTCTTCACGATGCTGAGTCTGAGAGCTATGAGCAGGTGTTGGATCATCCTGCAAATCGAGAACAACAATTTCTTGGCTCAGCGTCATTTCTTCCTTGTCATCAAATGACGCTGATCTTCTGCGCCTCCCCCAGGAAGGTTTGCCAGTGGTGCCGCACTCGACAGGATCGCACTTTCCGATACAGTACTTAACGTTGCATTGGAATATCACTCCATACGATTCTGCAATAACAGCAGTTCACAGGGCCATGATTCTAAGTAAATTTTTTATAAGGTATCTTCCTTAGGCCGATAAGCAGCTGATGGGTCTGGAGATATTTTATACTCGGTGAGTACCAAGGTTGAGCAATGGTCTGTTTGAGTAAACTTGCCTGTAAAGCGGAAAGCCTCGTAGTTTGACTCCAAAGCGGTATCGACCTGTCGGAAGCGGGGGAAAATGGCCGGATCAACGGGACAACCCCGGTCATCGATGATCTCAAATGTACTTCGAGCGTCTTTCGCCATTGCTACGCAGCTACGGGCGAAAATGCCGTAGGGTGCTGCAAAAATGTCGAAGGTAGAAGCTATTATAGTTTAACCGCTTTTAGCAAATCCAGAAATCTTACATTTCGTTAATATTCATAAACTTTAACAACAATAGTGTAGGCTAGAGGTTGTTCACTTAGGATAGAAACAACTAGCTTTTCGACTTCGTTCTCTTTTTGGCTTTTACATGTCCTGTATTATAGTATTTAGTCAACTTACTGTTTCCTGGAATCTCAATCTTAAAAGTAAGTTTATCTCCTATCCGGACAGTGGTGGCTTCATTTCCGTCAACGCCAAATATCATTATACGTGGAACAGGTGCTTCCGGGGAAGCCGTGATTTGCTGGGCAAGTCCATTGTCAGGGTCGCGCATATCGATATCAGAAACGGGCATCATGCCAAACGAGATATTTTTCGATGATGTCTCGTAGGTACACCGTACATTATAGACCTTATCCGCTTTAGTGAGTACAACGTTGTGATGCTGAAGTACCACAGTGTTGCTATACACTCCGCCCATTGACTGAGTATTACACTCCTGACCAGCAAGAGGTAGATCGAGCTTGAAATTTTGCCCATTCTTTACGGCAGTGTTACATGTCTCCGAACGTCCCATAGCATAGATCCGTCCGTGGAAAGGCCTACTTGTCTTCACATCTACAACGATCTTCTGGTCGGTGCATTGTATCGACACTGAAAAAGTACAGTGAGTATTAGTTAACGTTAATTTTTTATCACTTCACAAGAAGAGTGAAAATTCTGGATGCTCGACTTTGCTCAGTTTGGTGATTAGAACATCCTGTCACGCATTAGTCCAAATAATGTAGGAGAACCAACATACAAACTGTAAAGATCTTTATCTGGTAAAAATTAGCTTCAACTACTGCTATATAAAAAAGATTTTTAATTCTACAACGATTCCAAGCAATTTTTTAGAAATATATAAATGTAAGGAGCATGTTGATCTTTGTGATTGTGACGTAAAGTTACCATCATAGCAGACTCCGTAGGAATCGCAGGCCCCATCTTCGTATCCTTCCTTAGTTAATCCTTGCAGGCTTTGACTCGTTGCGGGTTGTTTTGTGGTAGATTTTTGTTCTGTCTTGGAGGTTGTCAAGCCTGGCCTCTTTGTTACGGCGGCAAACTTACTTAGGCTGTCATCTAAATAGGATTTTCAATGTTATGCATTAGGGCAATGGTTTTTTCTCAATACACATTTAAATTGCTAGATGCCGCTTCAGGTAACTGAAAAATGTGTTGCGATCTTTATGTTCTATTTTTTTATAAGTTAGCAAAAGTGCCTGCAGACTTGTAGTATAGGTGTATAAACCGATAAAGACCGACCTGATCGTTCATTTTTAATAATTGTGCAAATCGGCTAACTGCGGCATAACATAATATGATGCCTAATACGATTTGTAAAATTCAACTTTTTCTTACTTCCGGAATTGCTGGCACAATGGGCTTCCATATAGAAACCGACGGTTTCGCCAGTATCGAGCAATGGAAGCTGCGAACTCATTGATTTAAATATTTGCGCTCCATCAGGAAACATAACATGATCAACGTGGTATAGCGAGCAGCTACTCTGTCCAATAGATTCGGTCGGTTTAAAAAGTACTGAGCGACAGAGAAAGTCGCGATCCATTGTACAAGCCCGAAGACATTCGGATTTTGATGACACGAGCAGTTCTTTATCGGGATAATAGTTAAGGTCGACGTAATGCGTAATGATGTCTTGTGATGGGCCCAGTTTTGCGATATCATACGTTCGTACACCTGAACAGACCTGATCAACTGTAAGACGACAAACATCGGTCGCGAAATATCATAATTATAGTTAAAAAGGCTAGAGCGGAAAACCCAAAGTAATTAAGGGATGACAGATCGCACGTTTTGTTGCATACATATACAAATCGGGTGCTTCTTTACAGTGGCTACAATTGTTATTTACGATAAAAAAAATAACTGCAACGATTCTTTCCGCGCCACTTCTTGTGAGATCGGAAGTAAGTTCCAACACATAGTTCCACGGTTTCGATTCAAAAAGTTCCTTGTCAATACCTGCCATACAAGTCACATTGAAAAGCATATTTTTAATCCTGAAAAAGCTCCAACAGACCATCTAAACACGCGTTTTCGAAGTAATCGATACCGGGCGCATCTATAAAATCGTCGACAGAAACGCTTCTACGATCAGCGTCGCTTAAATGGCACTGGAATGTAATAGAATTAAACTCAGCTGCGCGGCAAACGAAGCGGCGCTCATTTAGGCAAGTCGCAAGACAATTTTCCCTGTTCGAGGAGAACATGGCAACATTATCGTAGGCCTTGAGCATCTTGTTCGGGAAGCGTTCAAACGACCATAATCGATTGCACACTTTCTCTGAAATCATCAAACCAAAGCGCAATAATAGGATTTCATTTTTCTGCGAACATACAAAATAGTTCATATTTGTATTTTTTTTTTTTCGTTTTTAAAAAAGCCTTTGTTTGCGCGGGAAATAACTGGTAAATTAGTGTCTTAACAGGAGAAGCTACTAAATAATAAGAACGACGGCTCTACCTGACAGCTTTACTGCCATAATTTAGTTTATATTAAATCTCGCTACAATAGAGACAAACAACAACAATCAATTATCTTGTGCTGTTGTTTCGTAGATGACTTAGCTTAATCTTATTCAGGCTCTACAATATCCAATAGTCACTATCAATACCATACGCTAAAGCAAGTTAGTTTGCATATAAAGAGGCATATGCGCACATGGTTACTAACCATGTATAGGATTGTTCCTATATATGTTAAAATTTACTCATCTGTGACAATCGTGCAGATTGCACTTATCTTTTTTATCTACGAAAAATATTGTATATTGAAAATATTAGGTCTGACAAGGTTTACGGTTATGTTTGACACTTTCAAAACTATTCTTAGGATCTTCGATATCCGTGTTACACAACTATACTACCTACAACGTAAAAGCTGCTTAGAGCAACTAAGCGGCCAGATTGCTAAGAGAGCCATTTTAGAGTCGACAATGGGAGCTGGGATCACTCCGGCGTGCAAAAAAGTGAGAACATTCTGCTAACTGGAAAGAAGAATACACGGAATATAAATCCTGTTCTGTCGAGCAGCTAGCTCACAAGGGTTATCGGTATAGCTTGACCAAAGTCTTAGGAGGACGCACCAGATACGTATAGCCATAAAAAAGATCACTAAAATGGACAACTCTTGAATTACAGGAAATATTTTCTACCATTCACAAACTGGCGGTGCGAAACGCATGTGGTTTATTGCTTTAGTCGCCGAGGCTATCGCTCTATTCGAAACTGAGGAATGGCTCGAACCTCCATTAAACTCATAGCAACAAATAAGGAGCTTTTAGGAAGAACCCAAAATTCACTGCTTTGCGTATCACACCGGCTTTCCAGAAGATCAACACGTCAGCGGCTCCGATCCTCGTTGGAACACTATGGTAAGACCTAAGGACGAAATGAAGACGAAGACTTTAGGAATATGGTATTGCAATTTTCACAGATAAGTCTACAATTCAAGTGCGTGGGGGAATACCGGCCGAACCGACCGGACGGGAAAGTCGAATACTACTTAACCCGAGTCATAGGGACTCCCCGTCCTCCTTACATTCCGAATTTGTAAGACCTTTTCTAATATGTACATATACTGCGATTAAGTCGTCGAGCACGATGCTGCTCGTAGTTCGATAGTTTATCCTAGCCTGGCCACAGCTAAAATTACAGCGACGACAATGATTTTGAGAAGATAGCTGCGAGAAAGTGAGCCATGTACAAAAAATTTTTCGTAACTTAAAGGGATGGACCCCAGTTGATGGAACTTATATGCGACACGATGAAAGCAGATAGCGGTTGGAGGATTTTGACTAGCGAGGTTCTGAGAGAGAAAAGAATACCTTGGTAGACCAAGGACGACCAGTGCGATGAGTCGAAGAACCTGACCGATAACCACTGACATCTGTCACTTCCTTCTTCCGTTAAGTGAAGAGGTTGGCGGAATGAAATAAAAGAGGGACTGGAAATTAATGGGGTAACAGGTTAACGGATACAAGTCCAATCGTCTGGGTTGAGCCTCACACACGACCCAGATGAGATAAGCTATGCGTTGATACCGTTCGGTAGACATATATTACTTAAACCCTTTTCAAAGAAAAAGTCGCTAAGGGAGGATTCGTGTAGTGCATTTGGTACCGTATCTAGCTTAACTCCGCGCGTAACGGACATATGGCTGGGATCGTGCCATAAGTTTTAATGGTGCCGAACTTTATTGCTTCCTTCTATAATTATCACATAGGTCGAATGGCGACGGTTTCAGTAGGATATTTAAGCGGTACACAACTTACGAAACGCATGTCAATGTTTATCTGTTGTCATATAAAAATGGCCATTTGGTAATCAAATCAATTTTATATTTGTCTGTAGATGGAACAAATAGCTGCCGCTACTCGACCTGTATGACAACAAAAACCACCTGTTTACTCTGGAGTCGGTATTGGTTGTCTCTTTAATATGCCTATGATTTTTTTGGGATACCATTTAAGTTCAGTTAGGATAGGCAAACGGAAAACGTACCTGTTCTAACGTTAGTCTTCACAAGATAGTACATATTGATGGCCTTTTGAGGGTTCGCCGAAGGCTTTCTTGCTTGGGTGTCGTTGTGTAGGACGCATGTTGTCTCTTGAACAGGCGCTAAAGGATTGACGACAAATGAGAATGCAGCAGCTACGCAGTCCACTTCGTCTCGACACCAGCCCTGACACTCATACAACGACAAGTTGCGTATTGAGTAATACGGTGTGCCGACGTAATCTAAGTTTGTAAGCTTTTCGAACGTAATTTTGCCTAAAAATAATTAAAAAATATAACGTTATGCAGGAATATATAGAATGCTCAATTGATAGAAATAGTTCGCTGGAGATAACCCTATCGAACAAAAAAATCACGCTTGCCATTTCCTTTACTGATTTTTGCGTGTGAATGAATTTCGAAAAAAAGTAATGGTTAAAGCGACGAATGTAAGAAAAATAGCTCACAAACTGAAAGTACAAAAAACTTTTCCGTAGACCACACTATAGCACCTAGGGAAAAAATATTTTTTTCAGCAAGTACTTCAACAGACGGAAAAACCCGAACAATGCAATGCGTACGCTTAAATAAGGCATTTACCTATTATATGCAAACAGTGGATGCATAAATGCTCTAGTTCGGGTGTTTATGGATAAAACTCAATAGATGTTGTATAGGTGTGGCGGGCGCCCCCTACAATTATCCAGCAAGAACAACAACAGCCGTACGGTCCCGAGACGAATAATAATCATGGAAAACCCTCCAGCTAGTCCTTTGGCTAATGTTAGACTGACGCTGCTACCGACTTTCAGTTGCTAGACCCTTTCATCAGACTTTTCTTGCGATCTTCGTTGAAGAAATTAGCTCGTGTGTACCGTAGAATTAAGGCATTAAATTTGCACTTGCTTCTATCTACAATGTTCAAATATAATGGCTTTGTTTTGTCTCGTAGTCGCTGCCTCATATTCAATATGCCATAAAGCTTTATGACACAAAAGGAGCAATGATGGTTCGCCTTCCCTTTTCACACATTGTCCTCCGCTCTTTCCGATCGAAGCTAAGAAAAAATCTGCATAGGGTTATGAATAAAATACGCTCGCTTATTTCATTCAAACACTGAAGTGTAGTGCTATACCCTTATAAAGGAATACATTGCTAGATTGATTGAAGAAAGAACTTTTGTAACGATCACCAAATTGGCGCACGTTCGTCATAAGCAAAATAATAGCGAAAGACGATTAAAGCTAGGTCGGGACTCGTAAAGTTTTCACCCGAATTCCCTTTACAGGAATCGGTGTTCATGCTGTGCACTGTCCGCATACGCGCCATCAGCAATGGTGCACCGACTACTAATAATAAATCGACCATTCCTTTTGCGGATTCCTTTTGGATTTCCACTGCGTTTGTTACAAGCCTCAAACCCAAGCATCTATTGCTTTGCTGCTAAAGGCAAGCCAAACAATCAATTTTTAGTCTACTGTTACAAACACGCTTCATCATTATAGCGGCCATGCATATAATTATGAATCTATTGACGGAATCAAATAAAAAGGATAGAAAAATGATGAGGTAGATCTATGGCAATAATTATATAAACGAAGTTATACTATGCAGTTCTAGACAAAAGATATATAACGTTCGATTAAGCATCACAGTCATTGAGAATATCAAAACTTCCTCAGCACTAAAGGCCAATAAACCACGTGACAATTTTTATTAAATTGCCTTTACTTTTAATAACATGATAGCCGAAAAGAATATATGAAAATTTATATCTAGTAATAATATAGTAGTAATAAAATTTCTTAGTTCAGCAATTGCCTCAACAGTTACCTAATTTAAAACGAATGCATGCTCTTTTATTAAATAGATGTATTTACTCATCGCCTTATCACCTTATCACAAAATATTAAGCAAACACACACACATTTTTCATACGCATTTTCAAAAAAAAAAGTCTCAAATTATACTAACACTATTCTCACTGAAGTATTATCGATGAAATACAAATCGTTATTAATCGATCTCATATTGGCTGTATATGTCTAATTAAATACAATAACATTTTATATTTACAAAAACGGCTTAATGACAACTAGCGTTTCCTAGCATGTTGATTTACGAAATATGAATCTTTATTAAATTACAAATGTAACCTATATATATATATATATATATATATATATATATATAAATTACATGGTGTATATGCACACACACAGTCGCCTAAAAGTGGGCATAGTATTATTATCAGTTAGTGACGCCCCATTCATGACAAAGTCTATCGGGAAAAAACTATTTCGAAGAGGCCTATATCAACCTGGCTACCTCGAATATTATTAGTAAGATCTGCTCCCAAAACGCAATAATCCGCATATTATTGGTACTAGCGCTAACAAGATTATTCGATTTAGCGCTACAGAGACCTCTTACTATCGTCTGCTCTATTTGTAAACAAAACATCAACAGCGCCAGATAAATTTTTCTTCGCGTTGCGCGTGAAAATGATGAACATGATATGCTCGATAGAATTAGCTGTCCATCCAAATCATTTAGCTAAGCTACTGCATCTTTCGAAGCATTAGTCAACCAACGACAAAGTGGAAACGTTATAACTAGCGGTAGTTGGAGGCTTAATATTTTTTGTGTGTTACGAACGGCTCAGTGAGCGAGTGGTATTACTATATCTGGTTGGAAGCCCGCGCAAAAATATACCCTGCAAATTCAGATGATCGCAATGTCCTCAGTTGCAGACAAAGGTGACACTGATGCACGTACAATACTAAAAAAGGTTGTACCCACACTCCGTTACGAGTACCTTGTGGCTGGCGTCATTGGCGGAGTCCTCAGTACGTTTGTAGTTCACCCATTCGATTTGCTCAAAATTCGATTAAGCGTTAACGACCGCAAAGAGGGACGACCATTGTACCGGGGACTTCGACACGCGGCGCAAGTTATTTGGCATGCGGAAAATATCAGAGGATTCTACCGGGGAGTTACTGCAAACTGTATTGGTAGTGGCTCAGCATGGGGACTCTATTTTGTGTTCTACAATGCTACCAAGTCGTGGATGAGTGACGGTGATAGCAGCACCCACCTCGGCCCGGTCAAGCATATGCAGGCCGCTATCCAATCTGGTATGCTGACACTGCTGTTCACCAATCCCGTATTTGTTGTCAAAACTCGAATGTGTCTACGATACGGAAAGGTTGATGACGAATATGGAAGTTTGCTGCGCTCTATCAAATCCTTATACCGAACCAATGGAATTCTGGGGTTTTATAAAGGATTTATACCGGGCCTCATTGGAACGAGTCATGGCGCCGTGCAGTTTATGGTCTACGAGGAGATGAAGAAATGGATGGGCAAGAAGGAGCGATTATCTAATGCGGAATATCTCATCTCATCATCCGTGTCAAAGGCCATTGCTGTTGTGTGCACTTATCCGTACCAGGTCGTGCGAGCTAGATTACAAGACCAGCATCGCATCTATTCTGGTAATCTCGATGTTATACAAACCACGTATAAACACGAAGGCATGTCGGGTTTTTATAAGGGTCTTATGCCGAACATTCTTCGAGTAACGCCGGCAGCTGCTGTAACTTTTCTTGTCTATGAGAACGTAGTCGCCTTATTAATGGGACCGTCAGTCGTAAAGTAATTCGCAACTGCAATTCTTAGTACCATCATCAGTGGCACCAGGCTAGCAGGTCTTACCATGATGTTCACTTGTTACAGACTCATTCAGTTAACCCCAACCTATGGTGCCCCACATCGCACTGAGTGGAAAAGCAGCTTACCTTGGTGAATTATTTAGACTCAGTTCAGTTTGAAAATGCATCCCCAGGGGGCTTTCAACTAACCTGAAAGTAAGCTGGAACGAAGAAGCAGCAGCTTACTGAATGTAGAGCCTGCAACTTTAGTCTGTCCCAATCATTAAGTAATTGTTTATTTTAGGAGTGGTAGTGGTAGCGATGATGCTTCAGAAGTACGTAATGAGGTCAAGATTTCCAAAAATGGGGGCGTTGCTTAATGAACGGTTACTACAAGGATTAATGAGGTGTTTCACTATAGTTTTTATAAGATATAGTTAATGTAAAAATATCATTTCATTATATATATATATATATATATACTGACAAAATGGCTATTAAGAGCAGATTCCTAAATCACCAAGAAACAGTTTTCGCTTGTAAATCTAAATGTTTATATATTAATTGCAAATACGAAGAACTGCGAAAACAGTGAAAAATTGTTAACGACTTAATCTTTGTTGACCTCTTTTCTAGGTTATAGTCCTTAATTGTCTAGTCGAAACATATATATTATTGCGCATTTATATATATTGTCTTAAGATTTATGACATGGGCTACGTTTTAAATAGAATGCCCCAGGTGAAATAATAGTGAATGAAATGAATGATATTTGATAGACTTTTTAATTAGGTAATCTACAAATCGTGATAGTGGTACAGCGGCATATCGAATTCAATAGTATGTCAACACTTCGTGTCTACTTTGTTGGCGGCAATCTATTTCATTATTACTGATAAACAGATCATATATTTCAGAATGTGCCGGTGCGCTCGTCTGGGCACAAACTCTATCCGTGGGAGTTTGGAAATATCATGAAATGCATACAATGCAATATTAGTTGTAGTTTTTGGTAAAGTGGCTTTAGATCAAACGATGTAAAAAGTTGATTTCGAATAATTCGGGACTCACGATGTGAGAATCCCTCTGAAGGAAAAGCCAGTATTTTTTTTTAACGTAAGCTGAGAAGTGCGGTGTGTAATCGAGAGTTGAGTGTAAAGACTATTTCTAAACATTTGTAGGTAGTACTTGCTTACATTTGAAAAGTTACGGGCTACAGTGTATGTTTTTAGCTAATTTACAGCATCAAAGCCAGCGGCGTCACGTGAGAAGAGATATAGTTGTTGACTTACTATAGGGCATATACTACCCGCAGCCATTGTGTTATCTTTATTGTATATTAAATCAGAACTTATTTTTTAGTATAGTCACTAGAAAAGTATAGAAGCAAAGGTAAGTATTTAGGTCAGGCAATTATACATTACAAAAGTACAGCAATATGTCTGATCGCCTGGTCGTCAATGTTCTCTCTAGTTATCAGACTGTAAAGAAACCAAGTTTCGAAATATCTTGTTACCTTCAGTTTTACCGGATCATAGAATCGACATTTAGAAGCAATGCGTACGATAATGATTTCATCACCGTGCGAGACGAAATTGGCAACTTTACCTACATTTTACCCCTAGTCATAATTAAAAAGGCGACAGCCGATACACTATCTCATTGTAAACTTCGCTCGGCACCCGCTACAAAGAAAAAAGAGTTTGTGCAGAGTAACCGATAGTCCTCTATATAAAATTCGAGATGCGCATGCGTACTATAAATAGCCTATAGATAACAATAAGACGAACGAGTAGCTGCGACCCAGCTGAAGCGATATGAGAAACCTCATAATAGAGCGTTTTTTATGTTCTATTATCGTGCAGTTTTGCATGGTCAAATATGCCCGTATTTAAGACGTCATTACCGTGACGGCCCTGAAATAGTTTCCGGGAGTGTTTAGAATTTTTTTCGGTGTAGTGCTCACGACATCAATAACTACCATCGCTAGCATCATAACAACACCAGCACTACAGTGGGGTTCAGTCTTAACACCAGTCTTGAGGAATACAAGATTCGCTGAGCACAGGTGTCGGTGCTAGGTAGCAAGGATATGTAGATCTACTGATTGTCTTCTTTAAGCTTTTGGGGACTTTTATTCGATTATTTATTATTGAATTACTATTATTGAGACTGGCGTTGTTGTCACTATTGTTGATAGACGGTGGTACTGCTGCTGAATGGGACGGTGAACCTACTCAATAACGGTTATCTACACTACCTCGTTTGTTCAATCACACACTTATCAAATTGGCAAATTCGAGTCACTCGAAGAACGTTCGCGGATAAACTAACGCTACTATTGCTACAACCTCCACGTGTTAGTGCATCCAAGAACTGCTGTGGCAGAAAAACCTGTAGAAGTTTAAATTATCCTGAATTACCAAATCGATTTTCGTGATCAGTCCAGCCTCCCGCACCTCCGATAGTAGTTAGGCCAACTGTAGCTGATTTCACATAATCTGTCTAAAAATTCAGCTGATACGAGTTTTACCTAGTTGTCTGTTGTGGAGCTGAAGGTAAATAGGCACTGCTAGACCAGAACCCGTGGATATCAAATGCAAGATCATTTCATGGCCATATTTTCCTTTCTTTTTTTCTCCGTTAATCACTACAAAAAATCGCGTCAGTTCGAGATATTGAAATGCAAGTAATAATAATAATAATAATGGTAGTATGGACAATGTTTATGTTCGACACGCTTGCGCTAGTCGTTCATAGGGGGACTCCTACATGGCAGGGCTCTTAGGTCACAAAGAGAGCTAAATCATCCTACATACGAAAAATAACTCATTTCGTGAACGAATATTACTAGCAACCAGACACACACCTACCATATTTATGCCTGCGACCGTGCATATAGGCAATAATAATTGGAGGACTCACCAGCTATTTATCATACTGAGAATGCATGTTTCTTTCCATACATAACCTAGGCATCAATGGAATGATTCTTCATTAACTCCGCTAGTACCTGCGTGCATTACGCAACCTAGTCTTACCGTCTTTTGATTTTTGTCAATATCAATTTCTGGTCAATCATTTGTTAGTCACTAGAGTAAAGTTCAATATTTGTGTTTTTGGTTGGCAGATGAGAATCTCTCGAACAAAACGATTCTGCTAAATTTTTCACTCTGTTGGATACAACAAAGGTTACCAACTAGACCTCAGGAGCGGTTTTCTTAATGTTATGATCTTGTAAATGAACGAAACGTGTTCCTTTGAATGAGCGTATGGCGCCAGCTGCAAGACGGTCTACTACATTTAATCGATTGTGTGATGCGGACAAATATATGTGCGTGCGTGCGTGCATGCGTGCATGCATGTGTGGTGGTTCACATGTGCTATGTCGTTTAATTATCGCCTGATTGATGTCGCTGTATATCTCGAGCGGTCACCTATAATAACGTATTGCAGTAAAGCAATAATACTTACCTATCAGTGAACTATACCAAAACAGTGTTCCACTTGACGACTACAGTGCTTTCAGTTTCGCGTAGCATAATGTAGAAACAAGTGGTCGGTGCAATTACTAACAGTACACTTAGTTAGTAGAAATTATATGATATATATTAAGATATGATTGTTTCACAAACGATTTTATTGTATTTACTGCTGTCGAATAAGTTAGACCCTCTAGCTAACTCACTTGCGTAGTAAACGACTCATACGTTCCTAAGCCATAAAAGGTATTAAGCAGCCAACATTCTAACATCCCCCCAGGAGCTGTGAACTGCTAGTCACGATTTCTACGCGCTTACTCGTAATAAGGATAACCATACTATGGCGAGACATGCACTACTATACAGCGAGTCATCAGACCAATTCTGAAAGGAGTGGTAGTTGCGACTACCGGGGGCGTTTGCCGCTTGAACAACGCGCTCCTATTATTTCAAGTGTTGCTTCTCGGATTCTGCTCTTAAGTATAGCTGTCTGTAATGTTTATGGTAAGTTTTGTCCAATTTTCTCCCGCTCATGCGTGGTAGGTTCCTTTTTTTCAAATTGACCAGACACAGTATATTAATGAGCTGTTGTTTACTGGATCGTGCTTTTTTCCACCTTAGTGTGATCATATGATGGCAAAAATTGTAATTAGTAATACGACAAGCCATCAATTGTTTAATATTTGATTCCTTAAACCATCGACGAATGGGCTAGCCCTTTTGTGGCCGTTTGTCTGTTGACGCTATTGCAAGCGTCGTTCCCTTTCAGCAGTGAGCGTTATAGCTTTCAATGTACTTAGGATGTTTCTCGTCCTGTGGTCCGAATGTTGACGATTATTTTTCGCTACCTCTCTGTGAGCTCAGAACAGTCAGCACAACATTGAAATACACAAATACGCCAGCATGGTTACCCAGAGCTAGCTCTAGAGGCAACTTGCGTGCAAATCCACATGTAGACACGTTGTTGATAGAGTTAATCCAAACAGTCAGTCATCACTGATTAAGCAGAAAAATACTTGACCGGCAGCTAGCGCGCTGGGTCTATTTCATTTTGCACCCCATAGCCCACTACACAAATATATATATGGCTGAGCAAAAATGTCGAAAACTTCGATTAAACCCTTCGCCGTCTTTTATTCAAGTATCTGATCTTGTAATTCAGCATATGCAATCAAGCGGGCGGTGCGTCCTACAACGATGACGACCGGCGAATCGAATCCTGTCACAGAAACGATGAGCGCAGTTGTCTGCTCGAGAGTTGCTTCCAGTGCATAGGCTGAGATTAATTCTTTGAGTCTTTGTCGAACTCAATAGCCCCATAGGTAGTAGTAAAAAAAAGTATGTATCTACGATTTCGTGATAATGTTCGATGTGTCGTAAGTAAATGTTAGATGTATGGGACAATTTTTTAGAGGGATTGCTCTATTATGTCAGGGGTCTGTCTTCAGGTAGTTACAAGTTCATCGACTTGTGCACCAGAGCTTCGTTGAAGTAACGTGTACATACAGCCGTGTCGTCTGCAAACTAATATTGAGTAAAAATTCTGCGATCATGATATAATGCTTCCCTTCGTTTTATTGTAACATAATCCATCACTTCAATTATAGTTGAATATGGGCCACGCCCACTATTCTTAGGTGGATCTAATAATCATAGAAGCTCATTACAACGCTAAAGCGAAGAGATGTTTGAGAAACGGGTTGGACCTGGTGGGTCCTTCATTCTTCGAGGCTTTTCTTTTGTGCTTCGAAACAGTAGATTTAGCTGAAACTATTAAGCCGTACATAGAAGTTCCAGAGAAGTACGCGAACAATGCGAAATTAGCATTAATGCTGGTATATATTAGTTAGGCTATTCGGTTCGTGTCATAAGGGCGGCATGGACTGCAAAGCTTCTAGCAGAGGAAATCGCAGCCGAACCAGCTTCCTGGTCCGAACGCCACGATGCAATACGTATTCCACAAGTGTACGCTGCGCGTCTGTAAAATTATGCAAGTATTTTCGTTTACTGTTATATCAAATACAACCTTTCTCGTATAGTTTCGACATGATTGTTGTAGCAGGTCTACTCGTAGCAACCGATTCTCGAAATTTCCTATTTGTTGAATTGTCCATGTTTTACATATAGTATTTCGCTGACTTCGGATCAGAAATTCGAAAATTATTTCCAATAGATTACTTCTAAGATCCTGCGCGATGAGATTGTAACATCGACGAAGCTATTTCAGCCGGAGTGGGGCAACCGTTGTGTAAATATAACAGAGACTATTTTGCGCAGACGATGATCGAAACCATCCTGACAATGATGACGGCAGCAACGACGAAATCAGCTGCAGCAATAGCAACTACTGCACCGAACAATGAGTGGAGAAACAACTGGTTAGCCATACCGCATTTTTACGCTCTACATTTGCAATTTCACCAATAGTTCTGTTTTGCATTGAAATCCTTTTATGCCTACGCTATCCTGTGCGTATATACGCACACATATATATATATATATATATCAATGTGCGTGTTTGTGTGTGTCTGCACACGCGCGTGCCTGCTATGTGTGGTATGCGTTTGTGTGTATACTTTGGTTGAATAGATGCTTTGATTTTGACAAGCAGGTCAACATTAGCTAATGTCGTCAGCATCATCACGACAACTGCGACAGCGAGCCTGGATGTGTAAGTTTTTCGGCTTTTTTTTTTTCGCATATGGTTGTCTGCTTGCTTCGGCTGAACTAAAACGGGGAAGCAGGGGGTAGCGACCAAAGCAGCCGCGAAATTTAAACGTTGAGCGGGCGAAAGAAGGAGACGCCAAATCTAAAAGAAGAGAACAAAATGTCAGCGTCATAATTTCGCCCACTGTTTGGTAAAAACTTTCGTTACTGTTTTTCTTTTTCGCAACGCCATTGTGATCTTGGTCCATTCGTTTTGGTGGACCCCAACGGCCGTGGGTACGGTCGCAGTCACGAAGATCAAGTGAACGTGACGAGGCGTGCGAATACAGCGTTTGATTTTTTACATTTGTTACTTCACTGAATATCGTGGTTCATTGGAAGACACCGGCAACTGGTCACTTGAAATGTATTCCGAGTGAGAGAACAAGCTCACGTTTGGTAGTCCACCAGAAACGAGATTTTCATATCGCAAGGTTCGCATATGAATCATCAGATAGATTTTAAAGATTGTCTTCTGATGGTCTTCTAATCTTGTCAACAGTATGCACTTTATTTGGTCTGGATAGTAAAAGGCTTACTCTCAAACAATTGTCTGAGGTAATATTTTAAAAGTTGTTTCATTGAATAATCGTCTGACGTTTAAAAAACACTACATCCAGCTGATCCTAGTGTGAACAGTCCACTTAAAAGATATATATTTTAACACTTCACAGGTACCTCTTAATAGGTCGCCTTTATTCCACTATCGGTTGTTCGGCTATTCTGTGTATTGTAATATATGGAGTGTTTTTCTAGTGGCTACTGGGCCATGTACCCCCAGAACGAAAACTCAATTACCTTTCAGATTTTCTAACTTCTCTTTTTCAGCTACAGAAACCTGTCTTTAGTCTGTTATACCGCTAATGGGCATTGTTTGTGAAAACCAGATACATTCGAGTCATTCGTTTAGGTTATGAACAGCTGATGTTGGTTAGCTATGGGAAAAAGGTTGGGCCGAAATGCGCAGTCTAGCTTTTTAACATGATAACTTAGTTAAACACGACGGTAAAAAAATTATCGGAGAAGCGACAAATGAGTGATTAATCTGGATGCTTATGCGTGTCGTATCTCCCAGCTTATTTCTCTTTGTAATTATGTACATAAATTTTGAGCTTCTGTGCTATTATCAACAAGTGGCTCATGTTTGACGAACGTTCTTGTTTTTACTTGGCTTTGTAGTAGTTGTTGTTGCAGTGATTGCCACTGACAAAGGCGACGATGTAACTTTTCTTGCGGCAGCTAACGTTTTGGAAGCGCCATCGTCCTCATTGGGCTGTAGTCCCGACTAGCTCGTGCTTTCCAAAAGTCCATTTACTCGATCGCGACAATCAAGGAGCAGCCGCCGCCTGCGCTCTTAGATGCTTCCGTTGTTACTTCACATTTTCCAGCTTAGAAAAACCGCAAGCGATACCGGCGACAGTAAATGCAGCGACATCGTCAAACGGGCCTATGCCAGACGATAACGAATGCCAACTCGACAACAGAGTTCAACCGAACTGAGTGAGACCGGCAAATCAGAATCAGCAGCTGCAGCAGTAGGAAGCCAATGGCAGACTGGAACAGTGGAAGATTCGTGAGCTAAAAATGCCAACTTTTGTAAATGACGAATTGCAAAGACTGAGAGGAGAACCATGGCAGCGCTGGCCAGCAGAAAGAGAGAGTTCAGGTCGGTGAACGACAGCCGTCGCCGCCGCTGCGACTGCCGCCGCTGTCGCCATTTGAGATGAAAACGAGCGCAAATCGTCCTCACGCTATGGTCTCTAGCAGGAGGGAGAGGCGTCGTTGTTCGAAAGGCAGGAGGGGAAGAAGACTGTAATGCATGAAAGGTTCAAGTAGTTCAAGGCATTCATGCTAATGATAATCGCACACGGTGAGTCAATAATGCGGAAAAGATGTTACGTGCAAAGATAACTCGGAAAAGGCACGAGCATGCAAGATTCAAGCAAAATCGAGTGTTCTTTTGGTTACCGAGAGCTCATACTCGTTCCAGTTAAGCAGGGGGCAGTACATGCGTAAAGATACGCAATCGTCTATTCATAGGTGAGTATTAGAGCGACTGGCAAGATAAAGAGGGCAAGTTGTTCGGTCTGTGAAAGAAAAAAATGTTGTCTCTCGGACGGTCTGTGCGCACTGCAGAGAAAAAATAGTGACAGCTTTTGTTATTTTCGAATTCAAATTTTGTGCAAGTTGCTCCCTTCTGTGGTGAGTTCTGCAAAATATTGGAAGCCTAGCATCTAGAAAGCGTGTATACAGAAAAAGCCCATTAAGCAAACTTTACGTTCGATCGTATGCGTTGTCGTAGAAGGCGGTTCTTATAAAATCTGTCGCTCTCTGCCTGTCTTTCTCTGTTCTTATTTGTATCTCTCCTGTAAAAATAGGCAAAGCCTTGGCTTCAAACCGGAGTGGTATAACTCGAACTCAAATATGATACATTCGAGTTTGATAACGACTTCATACTATAATACAATATATTCAGTGCATGCGGCTCGTGTCGTAGTCCTTTCCTTCTAGTCGCCATAATAGGGAAACGATGGTGCAATGCCTCGACAGAAACAGAGGTCGTTCGCAGAGCGCCTTCGCTGTTTGAGTTTTTACGCCTATTGTGTGTTTTTGGCGTAAAATGTCTCACTGTGTTGCAAAAGCGCCAACTTGGCCACTCGTCTGATGTCGTTGGCCGAAGGTGACAACGTCGCTAAGTATTTCTTCACGGCATTACAACAGGACACTCATATATCTTCTTTTGATCTTTGCTGGAGTGAAAAATCTGAAGAACGAGTGACTGGGGAAAAAAGAAAAAAAAGCGAAAGTTACAGTCATCTGTGATCACCGCGTGTGTGCTCTGCTTGCCGACTTTCAAATCATAATCGTAAAAAAATTATCGTTTACGTGCGTATGTTGGCTATTTATTCCAGCCGTGTAATAGCTAGTCATCATTGTAACTGTATATAAGGGTAGTTTTCCTAGTGACACTCGAAGGCCAAAAGCACGTATTAGGGCCTAGCTAGGACAGAGTTTGCTATGTGCTATTGTATAGCATAGTGGCGCGGTGCCATGTCTGACTAGAACTGTCACAGCCGATTCGAGATCTCATTGACGCAAATACAGCAACTCTGCTTAAACGTTCAATAAACGCACTGTAGCCTATTGTTGTTTCTGATCCGTCCTGGTGTTTGCTTGAAGGAGACGCCTGAAAACGCGGGTATGATCTAGACGCAAAAAAGGCCATGAAAAACTGATTAGACGCACATTAGAGACATAACAGATAACAAAAAAGCATTATTTTTGGCAATGGACAAGGAAACCGAGGCCTGTGTGGTCGATGCTATGTATGGGCGGGTCAAAGTATGCATTTGTTTAATTCGAATTTTGGAACGAATGGCTATCAAGGATTACTGAATCTCTTTTTTAAATAAACGTGTGCGAGAAATTTCTTTTTTGTAATGACTCATTTTAGTAGAAACTATAGTCCAAGCTTTCTCTGCTGATAGAAAATCCATCGCGGTCTACTCTGTAGCATAGATGCTACTGCGATGTAAATGGCTAGCCGTACTTAGTAGGTCGAGCATCCTCTTTAAAAAGGCCTTATCATTTATTATACAATATCATTTGATGGTCACCACTACGGTATCCGATTTGGACTAAAAACGAAGGCTAAAAAACAGTCTGAGTTTACTCTAACTCTATGGTCTTCTTATTACTTATAGCACGCTTCATCGTTGTAAAATGTCCTGTACAAGTTCTTTTTACATTGGTTTATTTACTGTACAAAAATTCTCTCAATTTTTAGATATTCGACTGTTTTAACTTAAAACTTATAACGTATGCCAACCCCTTGTGCTGTTGTACGGAGCACTCGTCTAATTTTGACCGTATTTCGTCTGCACAGCCTAGGTAAATTAGGTACGACATTGGCTGGTGATGTTAGCTGGCATTCATGTGCTGTTAGGATTATGTTTAGACTGTTTTTTTTTAACAATACGGCATACGACACCGCCGCTGCTGCTATCTAAATCGTATAGGGTGTGTTACGATAGCTGAAGATTAGTTTTTTTTCCGAAATGAGCTTGAAAATAGCGTCGGAACTGCCCGAACTTATAGACGAGTCAATTGTGGAATTGCACCTGTCACATTCATCATGGGAAAGATCGCACAGGATACAAAAGCAACTTGTGAAAATTGCAGTGCTTCAGTCGTCTTACCGATGTCCCGAAGCATGACGAAGCTTCGTTTAACTGGAACTATACAGGATCGTCATCAATGCTCTCAGCAACGTAATTAGCCTCTACAATTTAAGCTGTTCATCTGGTCTATGGTCCAACAGTTGTCTTGCTACCGTATACCTTCTGATACCTACGTAAACCCCTGAGGCAATAAACCACTTCAGCTTAGACTCAAGTGGATGCCGTTGTAGGAGTACTGCGTTTTACCATGATCGCGTGCTTTGCGTTATCGCTATGGTTATCATTAAGAGCGGCATATCATACAATAACTGGACCTTCTAGTTAACAGTATTCAGATTCTCCCTCTCCCATTTGTCTTGTTACCGACTTGCTTGAGGGGGAAGGGGGGTATGGGCGCAGAACCCGTAAAATAGCTGGGCGAAGCACCCGTAACAGGATTAGTCGAAACTGTAGGACATTGTTTCCGCCAGAACGCGGCGCCTGTAGAACTTGTAGTCGACTGTGACGCAGGTCGGGATCATTGGGGCCCTCATCCATCCAATAAGCAGCGTACCACAAAGGCCACCCCGGAAGCTGCCTTAAGTGCCACACTACACGAGGCCAAGTGCTTCAACCATCTACTGCACTGATACGCACGAGGATCATCATCATTCGTTTCAAATGAAAATGGTTCAGTGAAAGTCGAGCTACTTCTGTCTCACGCTTGACTGAGTGCACACATAGTAACCTATAGTTGAAAACGCCAGCCATCGGACTAAATGGTAAAGGAGACTCATCGATAAAAGAACGCGCGCAGTGCATAGAATATGGGACGATCGCGGATTGCTGTGCAAGTTAACCCACTGCATTTATAACGCCTACATCAAAGCGTGGCTTATGCTGAATGATCCGTACAGCTCTGTATAGTTGTTGGGAGCCGGCAGACTGACGGCGCATGCATCCCTTGAATGACGAGTTGTTTGGGCGGTGACTGAAGTGCCCACACACTTCCACTTTTAGTCTAACCACGACTAATTCGAAATTAAATTAGAGCAAACTGTGACAATTTCATTTCAAGATCGGCGAGGCATCACTACCTCTGTAACCTGTGGGTCACAGCAGGGCGGTATCTTTGAACAGATCCCACAGTGAGTGCTATTCGTTAGATAAACTACCTTCGTGTTCCACGTCGCTCTGGGTCACGCAAGACTCTTTATCAGTATTCGCATTCGAATTCATGATAGTTACAGGGATAATGAATTTATGGGACAATTCCCTCAAAAACGCCGAAAATTATACCGGCACATTTATGTCACCAGCGTTTTCTATGAAATTTATAAATTTAGTGTTGCGATCTACGTTTCTGTTGTTGTATTGCAACTTTCGCTGGTTTTCTCGAACCCCACGCTACACCCTAAACACTCTTCATTATAATATCTCAAGTATTTAAGTTAGCCCGTTTTACTCGGTAACACTGCTGGCTAGAATGCCGTCGTCTTATGAACACCGTCATCTCCATGCACTGCACAACAGCCTCAGTTTTCCGACCACTCTTCCTTGGTCAGCTTGAGATGCTACAAAGGACGCTTTTCAACTGGCTACCGGGAGTCCTCGGAGTAGCCGGCGATATCTTCCTTCCACAGAGACCCGCACCCTGGATCCAGCCTTTCGCATGTTGTAATTTCGGAATATGTTAGAAAAATGCCCTACAGAATCAACGCTCATCTATCCGTAGTAACTGATGGCCGGTTTCGCGGGCATTCTGAGCACCCTATCGTCGTTGTTGCATACACTCAGCAAGAAAATGCTGTAAAATAGCGGCGCAAGGTAATTGCTTACCTTTCGCACTACTTGGTCCCCAGGTCATTGTTCTTGGGCTACCCAACACTATATCTGTCCAATTCACTCTTCCGGCTTGCTAAGATACCCCCGAGGTTCACCGCTCTGCATTGAACCGTTTCCACAATGTCGCGTACGGTTTCGCCCATCCCACAAAGCTGCTGCCAGGTCGTAACGCGGCAACTGTAGTAATCGGGTCAGACTGGATCTGTCGAGCCCTACGCTACGCCTCAAACACCAAAAAAAATATGTTCTCAAATTAGTCCGTTTAATATAATGCGAACTCAGAACTATCAGCCCACTAACGATTAAATAGTGCAAATTTCTCCTTGGTGAGTAAATCTACTCCTTTTTGCACGCTAGAAAATTAATCTTTAATACATTGATAAAGTTACATCTGTTTAAACAGGCACAATACCGGAAAGGCTTAAAGGCACTAAAACAGGAATATCAGTAACTCTGTCGACATACTGTTAAACAACTCACAACAATAAAGGGACATTTCCGTCTTGTACTATAATGTACTATGCATAGGGTAATCCGAAGGTATGTATTGACGCGTATCCAATGATGCCGAACTCCGAGCAGTAATCGTAATTTTGAGCTCAATAGCTCTATATAGAACATTTAGACCTGGCTGCTGGAGATATAATGGTATACAGTAAATCCAGCCTCGGGTTTTATGGCCCAACATTGAAACGCAAATCCTCCATTGGTCCTTACGCTCTCTTGCATTGGAGCACTATAGACATTTCAGGTGGAGGTATAATTCAACATCGATAATTCCTGTTGCTATATGTTCCAATATTCTTAGATACAGCTAGTCAGCCAGCGATATCGCAAAAAAATACCACTCTTTTATCGCTTTACAGTATTTCGGACACATATCCAATCTAATTTCTGAGCCTGTGCTAACGGCTCCAAACTCGTCAAGACCAGTGGATCAACTCATTACGGGAACGACTTCGATGAGGAAAGGTGTGGCCAGAAGGTAAGCTTACCAGTTTTTCTTACATTTGTGTGGGAGCGCACCGCTCCTTCGACCGTTCGAATTGCTATTGTGCCCTTGGGGAGGATGTGGTCAATTGGGTTGAAGGAGACGCGGTAGGCAACGATGTACCGTGTCTTTGCTTTGAGAGTGACATTGCTAGCAGTAGTAGCGGAGGTCGTATTTTGACTGAACGTTTAACTTCGTCAAAGGCTATAGTTCGTAAACCAGAAAACAGAACGACCGGTCAACTGAGAATAACGAAAAAGACATCTTTATTACCTCACGATTTCTGCAAACGTAAATTTAGACAGAGCTCACACCTCACAAGATTGGCTTTGGGGTTGTTGTTCGTTCACAGCAGCCGTTAGAACTTCCTCAAATTTTATCACATCCTGTCTGCCAATAGAAGACGGAACGTTTTTCGCACCGATACTCAAGAAATTCTCCGATGCTTGCAAAATTCATAAAACATTTTTTTTTGCTGGCTGACATTCAACTTTGTTGAATGTGACCAAGATGCGAACCGCAACCAACCGTGAGGGCAGAGTTAAATTGCCAAGTCGCCTTTGACTTAGTTGGAGCAACGCGCGAGAACGATTGCAGTACGGCGTCGGGTGTCTCTTTGCTCAGTTCTTAAGACGTATCTGGTTCGCGCACTGTTACGTTACTGAGTTACCTCAATTCCCACGTTTTTGCAGTCCTACCCTTGTAATACTTTTCCGCTTTTTTTTAGGTCGATTTTTTAGCTATTTGCGCTATTATTATGGCCTAGCTGACTGGATTCTTCCATTGTTTCGACCAAACCTCTGGGCAGTAAAGCTATGAAACAGGAGTGACTGTGTTTCATGACTGCGTTTAATATGTGGAGCATATCAAAACAATAAACAACCGTCATTTTTGTTGTTTCATTGTTTGACACAGTGGGATACGATGCTGGTGCTGATGGCCATTTTTTTCTAATTCATTTCGACTTATATGCACCTTTAGACAGGACTTCTTGTTCATGTAAAGATTAACAAACATATGCAACTAGTAGATTACCGGCCTTCGTAGGATGACCAGAACAAAAGGTTAAGCAAAGCAGCGAACACAAGCCCACTCCAGGGAGCACTTACTGCAAAAAACCTATTTGACATAGCTGAGTAACTTAGTTGGAATCATCAGAGTAAAGATTGGTATTGCCGTTTTTAGTTTATGCCTGTTAGAGACAGTCACCGTCATCAAGTGATGAAGACGAAAAGCACAAATGTACTTATGGTGCTATTGAGTGCCGTTCGTCTTAACGGATTATCTGTTTCAACAGCGGCGCGGCGATTTCAGCACTTCTCGGGAAGCAACGCAGAACATACAGTAATACTTTATTTCCGTGTCAACTAAATGAGACGTGCTCGTATTATGAATTGGAAATTCATTGCGGTCGGGCCACATCCGCACGTTGTTCTAATGCGGACAGTCGGAAAGACTTGTCTTGAATGAATCCACACGACGGGAATGGCCGATGCCTAGACTCGGCTTCTGCTCGTAAGCACAAGTCGAATCATTCAGAACGACTACCTACCAGCGCTTATTTGGCTTTCCCTGTGTTTCATCCAGGTTCTCTTTCTCATGTAACTGCCGATCAGCTGCCAGCTGCCTCACAGCCCAACAGGCAACACATGAGCGCGTCTCATGAACTTATGCCTTCCCCCTCCGTTCAATACAGAATCCTATGGAAAATATAGGAGGAGTAAGAAGAAAGCGCAGCACGACGATGAAGATCTAAGTAATAGTTGCTCTCGTTTGATCTCGTACTTGATCATACATATGTTGCCAAACTGGTAGCCAGCCTCTTGTGTAGACTAATTTGAATTATATACGAATGTGCTGATGCCACGGGTAGGTAGGTAACTACGCTTTTTGCCTTTCAGCGTTTTTGCTGATCTGATTGCAACAATCCTTGGGGTGTATATGGCGGACGACGATTTTAGTTATTTTAAGGAAAATTAAGAACTAGAGTAACGGTTTCATTTGGTCTTTTTGGGCGTTACATATGATTTCTACGATCAATGCTATTAGTGAGTTTCTCTATGTATTAATTAGACTTTTGGAAAGTAAAGCTGAAAGAAACCGTGCTTAAACATTGTTTATTATCTGGAGCATATCGAAAGTAAACGGCCACGTTTACCCGGCAATGACGATTACTTCTTCGGATTCATTTTAACTTATACGCACCTTTACTTTTGGCTCAACCAGACACCAAAGGCAAACTGTGGCAAAAAAAAAGGCACTTGACAGAGATGACCAGTTCTGTATATGCGTTGTGCCTGTTTTGGCGTCAGCGGGCTAAAGACCTGGCAGCAGAGTGGGTCTGCGTCTTTAAAAAAAAACAAAAAAAAAATGACAGCACTGAAAACTTGTTGGAGGCAGTCAGCGTCATCAGCTAAAGCAGACGGCTGCGACAAATACGCCCGTTGCCGTTTGTTATTGAGGGATGTTTTGTTTCAACGGACACACGGATTAGTGGTTCTGACAACGTTGTTGCGATCTCAGCGGATCGGGGGAAGTCCGACGCAGGTGGCCCACTAGTGCCCTGTGTGTGCTATTTCCGCGTCAACAAAACGAGACACAGAGAAGCAAAGAGTGTTTCGCATCGTGTATTGAAAATTCATTCCGCTCATCTCAGCTTCCAGTGAAGGTATTCAGCTGCAAAGCTGAGGAATCAATGTGATTGAAAACTATTTTGCTAGATTAATAGTATTTACTGTAATTGTAACATTTCTGCATCGCAATTTGCCTAGTCACTCGGCCTAACAACGCTTTATACAATGCCAGCGCGTAGTTCTTTTTTAGTTAATTGCTATTCTATTAATTAGAGATGTACAATTCTATGTAGAATACTAAGTAGATCAGGAATATCTATGAATATTTAACGGGTAAGAGGTTTATATATAAAGATGCATTGTGTACCGGTTCCATGCATCGCGGATAATAATAATACTTCGTGGTGTAGACAAGTAGGGAAACGTGAGGTGGCCTAGGTCCGAAATCAGGCGTAAACACTTGGGTCGTGCTAGCAGCCAGCGATACAACGTAATGCTTAAGGGCAGTATGTGCGGGTCGGGAAACTAAAAACCAGCCATATATGTTAGAAATTCTATATGAGATTATGAGGAGATTGTGCAAGAGAACCTATGCGTGTTATTTCTCCATTTCCCATATTTGATGTAGTAATGTATAGTCATATGCTCATGACGGGTTTTGAATTAAAAATTCTTTTGGAGGCTACATGTTAAGTAATCCAAGTTACGCATCAAATATGTAGAAAGAGGTGATTTTTTTACACTTGTCGGATCAGCGCAAGGTGCGAAAAATGTTGCATCTTACTGGCCTAAGTGTTAAATGATGTTGAATCAATATATATATATATATCAACAGTAACTCCGATATATTGATTTATGTTGGAGTTTGAGTTTCACGTCGTGAACGTGTTCGTTATTTTTGCATCCTGCAGTTCGCTACATATATTCCCGGGAAATGTCTCAAAAGAATTGGTGCATGCGGATATTCTGGGAAATGCTTGAGTCATTGACATTAAATTCGAGGCTAGCCCGCCATTTTTCAAGACGTCGCTGGAAGCTTTAGACCTGTGTGTTGCGTAAATAGTTTCCTTGACGGTGGTCTTTTCGGACTTCCATGGCGTTTCCAGTTCTCTAGTATTCTTTGATGATCAATTTCCGTGTGTTATGGGCCACAATCATATAGAAATAATTGGTATAGGGAACGTACAAAGTCAGCGCGAAAGTCTATAAGACCGTCTTTACTAGCTTTATATTGCAATTTAATATTACTCATATCTAGTATTAAAACAATTGTTTCATTTGTCTTACACAGTTTGCTAGGTTCTTTATTACAAGTGTTTGCATACATCGTGCCATTTTAAAAAAGTTTTTGTCCTACCCTGTATATATATCTAGATACTTTTTTTTTTGCTTGACAACATACTTCGGGAGGATCACGACTATCTCAATTTGAGCTAAAAGGTGAAATAAACGCAGTACTTCATTACGAATACTCACATACATACCTGACGATAGTTTGTCATTGTTGAAATGCTATTGCTAAGACCAAAAAAAAAAATTATAATGCGCATAATAGTAACTATTCACAAAGAAATTTCCTCAGAAGGATATCAATCAGAATCTAAAAGAGCAGATACGAATCCTCAAATAATGGATTTTTGGATATCCTTTAAATACTAGATCTACATGATAATTATTATTATCCTATTTATTTTGCCTCGTTGAAAAAATTACTTGCATCTACTTTTGTTGATGGGAAAATCTGACTTTCGTATGGAATACCGTTGTTCCCATTGGGAACGATGACGACACTAACTAATTAAACAGGTTCACCAATACGCCATTATAGCAATGTATTTATCCATGTTATAACTTTACATTATTGTTACGCTGCACGCGCATACAATGCACGCTACGCTGCACCTGCGATATTTGATTACAGACAGTATGCGAAGATCCGTAATAAAGTAATTAAGAAAAGGCCGGAGTGAACATGTCGTCCGCTCTCGAAGCACTATTTTGTCACAATTCTAAATGGCTTAACAGGATTACTTTGACGATTTTAAGTATAACTACTACCTGTGACGCGACCGATCACACCAACTCATAGACGTACCTTACGAAAACTTGCCAAATGAATTTATTTGTTCTTACGAGCTGCGGGATCACCAAATTATACTATTAGTAAGCCCTGGATTTAGGAGTTTGCTTGCTTTCGATGTTCCGCTTCACAGTCTTACTTGTAGTAAGAGTGGGGTGTCGCCGTGTTCTCGCTTATGCATGGACCACCGTGGACAGTAAAGGAAAGCCCATGTTTCATTTAAACCGAAACGCAAGCCATTTGTTATTATCGTGCGGCCAGATTTACGTTACACACCCTCCGCCGATGTAATATGTATATGACGAATGATGATAATAGACTTATGTTACTATATTATATAGGTCCGACAAAGTGAAGCTAGAACAGGAAGCTTTGTCTCAAGCTGTAGTGAAGACCCAATTTACACTGTCGCTATGATATTGCTGTGAGGATCGATAAGTATGTCCTTGCAGAAAGTCTTTGTCCCACCATTAAATATGGTAGCTAACGGTCAGATCACGTTTAATCTTTAGGAACGGCTGCACTTAGGCTAACAAAAGGCTATATTAGCCCTTTTTTTTTTGGGCTGGCCCGAATTGTTTCTAACTTTGACGACCCTAGGGGGAACGAAGGACACGGACTGAGTTGCTTTTGTCGGGCTTCTGCATGGGCCAAACCCGTAGCGACTGAACTACTGCAGAGGAAAGCTCGTCGATCATTATGCTTACAGGTACGCCAGGCGCCTCAAACAAGCAGCGCGCAAATGGCGTTAGGGGACTTCTTGTAATACGGCAAGGCTCAAAGGCAATGCAAAACTGAGGAAGGCCCTGCCCGCAATGCACACAAAGGAATCGTCAGAGAAAGACAAAAGTAGTGGTTAGCCATACTGCGGCAAGCGACCGTGCGGAATTTAAGCAAGGATAATCCCACAGGGACTCACCGTTCTACTCAATGCAGGCACAGGCAGGACATGGCCAGTTATCTGTACAGAATAGAGAAAGCACTTCGACACATGCATTTTAAGCTTCCAAAAAAAACAATACCTTCTACCCGCTAACTCAATCCGAAATCTTAAAAAAATGTTGAGAATAGATTGTTAACAGCTTTAAGGCTTTCGTGCTGTGAATGTGCACCTCTGTGAAATTCTGAAAAACCGGCGACAGGCCTCGTTGAAAGAATTACGAAGGAAAAAAACCACAGTTTAGCGCGACGCAATGCCTAGAAGACCATACCAAGAGACCGAAAGGGAATTCAGCGTGATTATCCGGTGGTACTTGCCATTCACTCGAACTAGTTTGTAGTACTAGTCAACAAAGAGCCGGACCAATACAAAAGCAATAAACAAGTGAATTATATATGTGTATATTGTTCGTCATACGGCTGAATAGTACGACTTGGCACTTGTGGAAGTGGCAGCAAAGCGTTCTCCATCAATTAACGAAAATACTAACGAGTTTTAGTTGTATTATCGCTTTCGTTGATTCACTCAATCAAATAGTTCAGTCAAGCATACACGCTTCCCTAAGAACAACGATTTCCAAGTAACGAATCCTCTGGTTTATACCTTTCCCAGCTATTGGCTTCCTACGCATTTCCATCGGCGTCAGAGATCTAAAAGGTGACTGACATTTCTTTACACTACAACGAACAACAGATTTAGCGATACACCCATTGTAGCAATATATATATATATATATATATATATATATATATATATATATTCAAATAGACGTTCCAATGTTAGATTATCACTATTACGCTGCGCTTCAACGGATAATCGACCCCCATGGTAGCTCCTATTAGGCGATGATGGCCAGATAATGGACACCCAAAGGGCTGATAGGCCAACAGATAACGCCAAAGGAGATGCTTCTATATGACGCTGTAGATTTTTTGCGTTATCACAGTTGCAGTTGCTACTGACGCCTCGACTTTTTTCGATCATCGCCGCTACTCCCAGACCCTGTACCTCTTTTTTGGTTAGAGCAGGCGCTGCTTCTGCTACTATTGCTCGAAAAGAATAGTTCCTTTTTCGTCTATTGCCGTTCCACGATAGGCTAGTCATTTGGGGAGCTTTGATTGCAGCAGAGTTAATCCCTCGGTCCCGTTCCTGGCGGCCGAAAAGGTTCTCTCGATTTGTTTGGCTGGTAGTAGCAATACATTTGTGTAGCGCTTGAAGCCTGAGGGCAACTTGATGCCGCGCACGCATAGAATAAGCAATGATTCATTGGCTACGCTAAGCTTTCTCTTCGAGTGAAAAGTTGCACGATCCTCAGGATAGAGAAACAACAACGGATTTCAGTAGCAGTAGCCACTGGTGGTTAAACCGATTGGAAAGAAGGACGGTACAACCATTTTTAGCCCATAGTTCTAACTGTGAAACGGGTGTCAGAGAGAATGGGAAGTCATTTCGGCTATTCGAAGAAGAACAACGGGCTGAGAACTACAACTACAGTTATGTGCTGTGCTTTCCGTCAACGAACCATTCGGTCAGGAATGAAATCAAGAGCGGATTTGTGTGCAATAGTCGTTGTTTTGCCAAAAGAAACCCGGTGGCCACTTATTCGTCCAGTTGCTGTCGTAAAATTTGCTTGACAACCGCTACTGACCCCCCGGCGCCTCGCGTTATTGCTACGCTATTCAAGGCTCATCGCTTGTTTTGCTTCTTTCCGTCTCCGATTAGAAATAAAAAGTGACATATTGAAGATTGGTTAGCCATGTTTACGTCGACTTTTATGCATACATATATACATCATCTAGGTGAACGTTCGGTGCTGTGATAGAGACGATTTATATGAGCGAAAACGAGGAGTGGGAACGAGAAGGGAGGACGGACAAAAAGTCAACAACGTTGGACTTTCACTGATGGCCGCTTCTGTAGAACCCGTTCCTGACGTTGGTTCATTTTTGCTTCAATAGTTTGATCCGCCGCTGCAAGAGTATATCTCGTAGCGGTCGTGGGCCCGCCGCAGCCCACGAACAAAGATGGAGTAAGCTTGTTTAAACGTGAATAGCCATATTGGCATTAACCGATAAGCTACTTTATTTATTATTATGTCCATTTTAGCTTGTCATTTACTTCAATGTTGTCGACGTTGTGTCAGCGAATTCGATTTAATGGCGCTTTCACTATATTTTTTTTACTATGCGCACCGGCGGTGTCCTGACCGCTAACATTCTCCGATTTTTCTAGTGGAAACCATTCACACGGGCCAAGTCATGCAGGCAAGATAAATTCACTTGATGGCCAAACTAGCGGAACTACACATTTCCTGGTTGCAATACTTATCGCGGACTGCGGGATATAAAGTCTCGTACTTAGTCTTTATACAGCTATAAATTTCAAGTTCATTTAGCCGGGTGTCTGCTAGGTAATGCCCTAACGTATACAAACGAAATAGTGTTAGCATATATTTATATATATTAGTCAATTTGTTTTTTTCAGAGGGCTAAAGCGGTTTAGCGTCACTATCTCCGCTACAGCTCCAGCTCCAGCGTTTATGGCGCTCTGTGTTCTGGACAGCAAGGGTAGCATATCTAAATAGAATGGACAACTTACGGTCACAATATTGTGTAGCTTTATGATACTGTAACATCGAACAAAAAACAAGTACATTATATTCACGTAAAGATGCAGTATATACAAGCATGACGCCGTCGAGCAAATGTCGTTGGATCTGGCAAAACAGGTAGATACTATTGGCTGGACGTTAGAGCTCCACTTGTAACTGTGAGGACATCGATAAGGTATCGCTCTGATTTTCCCTTAACTAACTTATTTTGCATAGCACACCCTAGTTACATTCGTATTCGGGCGCCATAACGGCCAACTGTGCTGAAATGGAAAGACGATGTGAATGGTCCGAAAAATCGAATAGCGCCCCCTTCACGCGCAAGACGCGCAGCTTTTGTAAAATTCATGACTAAAGCAATGAATGTCTGAGCTAAATAAAGTCAAACACACAAATATTACGACCTCAACTGCGGTCAGCCGTTATACTAGTCACAAGAAAAATAGGAGAAGAAAGAGCAAAAAGCAGATACTGGGGCAGGAGATGGGGATTAACGACAGTGGGCGCTTCATAAAAATAGCTTAACAACATCAAACAATAACCGACATACAACTTACAAACATTTGCATGCACATTTCAAAGAACAATCGGCTAAACAAGCCAACGACTTCGTTAGCTGACGATTCCTTTAGATAGCGATTGTTAAATTGCTTTATTTTCCCAGATTCTATGATGTATACATTACAATCTTTTTCATCGCTACGTGACAGTCAGCCGAGTTAGTAGCACATTATGTAGAAAAGGCTACGGTCACCAGTTGGGGTAACAAGGGGTTGCATACAGGGGTCAATAGCAGTTACAAGTCAGTCGAATTTATGGCTGCATTTATTGGCTATCACGCAAATCACCCTTTTTCGTCAGAGGTATTACAGGACAGACTGAAAAATGGAGCACGCATAGCAGCGAATAGATCCTCGCTGGCACACTCCCATGCAGGTACCATGTTGACGCTTGACAACAAGCTGGCACCCGCTTCTCCTTTGACTACAAGTGTGCTATGCCTTTCTCGAAAATGTCACATATACAATGACTCGCTAACTCAAGCGTAGATCGACTAACTTCATTCTCAGGAAATGGTAGCTTCGCGCTTGCCGTCGACGGGATCGCGCTGAGTCACTAGCCAAACGTCAGTGAAAATGACCGCACCGAACAGTCACCAGCTGTCAGAGGGAGTTCCAATTTCCGAGGCACTTTGGAACATTGTCGCCTATTGGCTATCATCTCGCAGCGAAACAACGGTTGACAAAGGACCAGAGCGAACGCAGAAGTGACGGCGCAAATGAGCCCCTCTTCAGCGAAAGTGTCGCCGCGCAGTGATGTGGCTGCCGCTGTAAACGCCTGCCGACCAGGTATTGTTTGTTTTTATCTACACGAAAAACTCCTTCTGCCTTCTAAAGTTCGATCGCCGCTTACGCCTGATTCCTTGCGGCATTATCTAGCCATGATGCGGTTATTCGTTACGCCACTGATGCCGTTAGCGGGAAGAACGATACCCCTTAAATTCCCTTCGTCGGAAGATCAGCGTCGGCGGGTCAGCCGGTTAAATAGTACTGGTTTGCTTCACGAGCTGCAAGGAAGCGCACGCTGACACTGTGCCCCAATATTAGTAACCGGGGAGAGTGCTCATATTTGAGTACACGTGAGCACAGGAAAGATCTACTTACATCAAAGCCAAGCTAGGGTTTTAGCACTCGGATGTTGTGTCCGTATTATATGATTTTATGGCACGAACACTAGCAAGAATTGAATTCAAGCCTCTATGTTATGATTTTCTGACAAAACGAATGCTTTCAGGTTATCTCGCCGACGTGAACGCATGTCCTTTCTTCCTTCGAGCTGTACAACGCTGACTATCTGTTTATTAAAAGAATAATAATGCCGAGTGATTTTGTTCTTTAAGAACGTGATGGGGTTACATCGCTACGAAAACAAAAGCGTTTCATATGAACAGCCAAATCGCCGAACATAGCAATTGTCAAGATTCATTTACTCGAAAACAAGAACATCCCGAAACCCAACCCATTCCATACTAATTGGGTATCATAATGGTCACTGATGGCGCGTTCGATGACAGGACAGTATACCTGCTTGCTTGCTTCCATTCGGGCTGCGTGCAAACACATTATTTTGTATATTTTGGCAACAGTAGCTGCGATTCGATTGACGTAACCCAGTCGCCACGTGTATTATTGGCCTTATTCACCCAAAGCTATCTCTCACCCATAATATAATCCAAGGACAACAGCAGCGGCTGTAGAAACAGTAATAACTACTGGGTATACATTCACACAGATAAGAATACACGTGACTGGCTGCCAGCGGCGGTAGATAAGTTAATTGACGCTTTCGTGGTTAGTCCTATTCTCTCGCTATTTCCAGCTCTGAGACGAACACTGCCCAGCTATGGCGATGTAGTTCTGTCAACGAGACACAATAGGTCAACAGGTAGAGCATCGTTGTAGATAGATATTATAATACATAGTACAGACAGGCGATCGATCGGCAAATAAACAAACCTGGTTGACGGTAGCGTTTAGCAGACCGCCATCGTTTTTGGCTCGACGCGAACGCACCAAATACAGTCACGCTGGCTACCATTCAGTTCCATAGCGGTATTCATAGTGGCCATGATGATCGCACACGTGCTGCCCGTATAATAGGTAGCTAGCTCACCTAGCGTTGTCTTCTGTACATGCGTGTTACAGTTAATTATGTTTAGTATATCTGTTGATGCTTATTCGAATGTAATCCTTCGCTCTCGCCTCGCGTTTTTACGTCTCGTGGCTCGCTATGTGTGACTTTTGTAGATCAGAAAATGAAGAAGGATACACTGTTTGGTAAACTAGACAAATCCCCTTTTTTTTTCCTCTTTTATCTTATCGGTTCACTCACAAACGAATCTGATTCTTTTTTCAAGGAGCTGCAAGCCCACCCTGAAAGAATCGTGTAGCATCGTATGTATATGTGCATATGTCTGCATGCGTTTACGTTTGCGGCAGGATGTATCAAACGTTCGAAGGAAAACTCGCCTGGTGGCGGAAAATTGCCTGCATTGATTTTTCAAGGTAGCAGCGACAGGATGCACGTGGCCCATGGCGAAGGGTACTGGCGTCAAACATCGCTCTCACTGGCATTCCGTGTCATTGTTATTGGTGATTCTGCTGACTTCACTATAGTTTACGATGAAAAGCATTTCATTTGATTTGCCATTTTCGCCATCTGGCCACTTGTAGCAAATCTAAAGTCGTAGTTTAAGATTATTTATTCATTGTCCACAGACACCCGAAACGAAGCGAAGCGGAAAAAGAGAGAGAGTTCTGAGTGGCCAGACTCGCGCCCGATCGCCTTTCCTTTCTGCCGTCAGCAGCGGCCTCCATTGAGCTGACTAAGTGACCCACTCAGCATGTCCGTCTGTCTTTCGGCCCGCTAAGCGACCCCGACAACCTCTGCGCTGGCATATCGAGACCTGAACAAAGCAAACTTGTCTGCGGTCGCCAGCAAGCAACTCCTGCAACAGTGCAGGCATCACTATCTCCACGGACCCACCAGACGGCGTCGCAGCAGCTTCAGACCAGAGACACCGGTCAGCCGGTCCCCCGATGAGCCGGCTGCCGTAACAGGGCGATGACAACTTCGATAAGTAAGCTCTGATTTCGTTTTCTCCCAGTTAAATCTGAACGCACGAAATAAGCTCCAACAACAGCGCCGACAACAAGGTGCTTTGGACAAGACAGCAATAGCACCGCAACATCAACTACTGATGCTGCTGCAACGACAGCAACTCTGGATCAGACGGGTTCGGTCGGCGTCCTAAGCGGCAGCGGTATGCATCGTTGCGTGCTCATCATCTCGTTTTTCCTCTAGCTGATACGTTCATTCTCTCGCCGGTGGCATTATATCATTGCATCGCTCCGCCATTCTGTTTCCGTAAATGACGTGCAGTCATTACGGCAAGAAACATTCTCATTCTGAAAGTTAGTTCAGACGATGCTATGATGTTTGGTAGCGGCCGATATCCCGTTCCATCAGTTGTCTTCTGGCTTCTGCTTCTCCTCACTGATGGGTCCTCTTGAGTCATGCTGACCTCAGTGAAAGCGACCCCAACTGATAGCCCCGACGTTCTTAGTTCTGCAGGATATTCCTAGCCAGATAGCTGTAGCTGGTTTAGTGCCCACCTTTGTCTCTAAGCAAACACAGTGGTCTGTCATTCCCACACGCACTCCATTGAGCAAATTTTCAAAGCTTTATCCAAACGGGATCGTGTCTGAAGGAAAATTCAAGTACAGGTCCTTCCAGTGGACTCCGCTATTGTGATATAACTTGCAGTTGAGATAATTTTGTGTACGACAGCGTTTTCCAACCTCGTTCTGAGCCAAAAAAAAAAAGATTATGAACATGGCCAACTGAAAGAGGCAGAATAGAACGATGTTGGTCTACAGTAATCGAAAGTGCGAAGGTTCTAGCTTAACGATGTTTCGTATTAGATACCAATTTTAATCCTGCCTGATAAATTACATTTGAGTGGCAATATTTTTTTTGCAGAAAATCATCTTGAATTTGAAGAAAAAATTGAGATTTTAATACTAATAGGTTGGTCTACCTTGATCTCGACCATATCGTCAAGGTCCCGAAGTAGGACAGCAGTAAGTTCGTTCTGAATTCTGGCAATGAATAGTTCACTCTGTAGGTAGTTCTTGGCAAAAGTAGTCGAATTCTGGATCGATGAGCCTCTTAGTTCAGTCATATGGATGGACCATTTCTATTATTCCAGTCAACCTACTTAGAGTCTGTACAAAACAATATCTGAAAGTACAAAATCTCTGCTAGACCATCCATGAATTATTTGTCATTTCAGCTACGGTATTTAAGCGGTTCGTCATATTTACCCGAAAATGCATCGAGTTCTTTGCTACAAATGATCCTGATCGTATTATCTTTGTCAGTGCTGCCGTTTCGACCACTCTTCTACAGGCAGCGCTACTATTATCGGTGCTTGTTATCTTCATTTGGCTCTGAGTCAGCAGAGTTTTAACTAACACGACCGTTTACTCAATGTGAACCCAGCGCTTAATAAATTCAAATATTTACAGATGGTCAGACATAAACAGGACAAAGGTATGACGCATGCGTATATCAGAATGACACTTTCGACAAGACGTAGGCAATCGAGAAAGCCCTCTTTCTCTCATTGGCTCAGTAACGACAACAGTCTGCTGCGCCACTGCTTCCTTCTAAATTACTCGAGTCAACTTTCTGCAGGACTTTAACGGCCAGAATTAAGGGGCAGTGTTGCTGATGTCGCCGACTGCATGCGTAATTCTTATCTGCCTTCAGGTCGCCTCAGAGCGGCGGTATGGTAGTACTACTAGTAATAGTAGTTTAGTATATATAGTTGCGTTGTTTTTATAAAGTTTGTTTTTTAGTTTCTAGTTAGCGTTGCTATTTCCTTTCATCTGTTCCGTCGCTATCATTATCTTCTTTTTCTTTCTACTTCCCGTTGACTTCGTCGTTTTTTGTCCCGTTTTCCACCGCATCTAATTTTGGGTTTGGTGATAGCCAGACCCCCGCCAGCAAGTGATACGCCTTATCTTTTTCGAGGTGTCACGGGTGCTGCCGCTAATGTAGCGTTTCTAATAACGCCGCCGCCACACCGCCGGCGCTGTGTAACAGACGCCAGTCTCTCTTGTCGTCAAGAAATATCCTTGTTTTCCTAGCAACACGGCTCCCACATTTCCTTACAGGCTGAGAGAGAGCGAAACGGAAGGGGGCACAGAAGGTGCCAATAAAACCCTTTAAAACGGTCGAAGTCGTCGCGTCCGAGAGTAAGGGAGGACAGCGTAGCGGTGACAGGTGTAGGATAGTTGTCGCCACAATTTAGCGAGAACGCGTCCATTCCTAGACGCGAGGTGCGACCATCGACGAGCATTGTGCAACAATAACAAAGTATGGCGCTGCGCCGCGGAGTATTCTGTACAGTGTCGTTTCTTCACCTATTGCCACGTGGCAATAGTGATAAGCGGTGGTTCGAAGCCGGTGCTGCTAATGCTAACGTGATTTGAGATATACGAGGTATATTTGTTTTGGCGGCTGAGCTGATCCTCGGCAAAATCAGCCTCTCGAAAAAGATAGCTAGCTATCTTTGTATTATCCTTTCGTGATAAGCTGGTTTTATGTTTCTTTAATTGTCCCTGCTTTTCCTAGTTTTTTTTTTTCTTATTACATATCGCAGTTACACGATTTTTTCTAGCACAGCAATAGCAGTAGCACGATACTTAAGCGAACATTATTGCGTGGGGCTAGAGTAAGTTCTTGTAAGGTTCTACGTGTCCAACCACTTCCCTGGGTGCTAGTTAGTGATAACTGATGGCCGGATCAGTTCCTTCGAATTATTATTTCTTGCCGTTACTTTGCCCTACAATCTATTTTGGAATAGTTTTTCAAACGTGCGTGATGATGATATTGTTGGTTACGGTAAACGGTGACAATCTTCGTCTTGCGCCAGTGCTTTGCTATTGCGTGCGTCAGCATCTTCATCGTTCGTCCGCTCGCCCGCTCCACAGTCCGTCGTGGTGACACGTCTGCAGCCCTCTGATCTGCTACAATATTTTGTACAAGAAAGCGGTACGCATAGACCAAAACACGAATGTAGTATATGTTCAATGAACAACGGCCAGTAGCAGCTACAGCTGGACGCTAAGCGTTGTCTGTCGTATTAACAATTGCTTCTTTTTTCGATAGTTGTTGATTTTTTTGTATTACAGGTTACCCTCTCTTGTCCGCGTGTCGATTTTCTCTCCTGCTGTCCATCTCGTAGAAAACACCAATTCGCTGCTGACGCAAACGCTGGCTACACAAAAAGGAGCTAGTTTAACTCTTACCAATATTGCGATTGGCCACAGCCGTTCAAGTACCCGAAGACGCTGGCAGCGTGAAATTTGCAACGTCGCGATAATTTTATCCCCAGAAAAAATAGAAGATTCTCTGTTCTACCATATCCGTTCGGAACCATATAGATAGATAAACCGGATTCATGGACCTGAATGTGCGTGTACCTGAATTCCTCGTTAGTTTTTGTTCCATGCTCTGATGAACGCTCTACAAAAGAAAAAAAAAACACTCCGACGCGACATGCACACCGTCAACGATTTACCTACATAGTCTGCTTTATACGCTGTATGCATGATGGATGTACGTACATGCATATAGGGGTTCTCTAGGGGACGAGATGGGTCTGTGTTTCTAGTCGCGCTCATCCGTCCATCTCTGATTTGTTTCAACTTCCTTTCATGGACAGCCCGTACATTTATACAGTAATTAGGATCGCTCCAAGATAGCGTGCTGTACACGAAAAGTTCAAACTACGATCCAGCATAATATGCTGCGTAATTGTCCCTCGTAATTCCCTCGAAATGCGAAACTAAAAGGTTTTTGCATCGTTGTCTGTATTGTTTTAGCAATATTTTACTGAACCTGTTATAGAGAAAACACTTCCATGCCGTAATCGTATTTTAACCACGTCATATAAGTACGTTTTGTTTCAGAAGTCGAGAAGAAGCTGTTTTCGAACCTGCACAACTCCCCAATCAGTGGGTCTTCACAAATAATCTTACACTAGGACCGCATTTTTCATACGGCATATACTTAATGTAAAATAAAGCATTCCAACAAAGGCTTTTGTACGTTATCGATGCAGTCTTTGAGTCGCTATTCAGGTTTCAATCGAATTTGATCTTTACGTTGTAGAATAGTATTCATGTGTGGCGCATTTTGGCCTATCCATTGTGCCTAAATACCAGTCGCCGAAGTACTGTTGTCCTGCTATTAGTAAATTGCAGGCCAAATACGCTTTTAGCAAGAGACTGCGTTAGGTTGGCGCTCTTCGCAATATTTACATTAAAATTAGACAACAAAATAACGCCTATGTTACTCTTTACAGCGGCCTCATTCTATACATTTCATGCGTAAACCCAAACTTATCAATATGGTTTCCTTCTATTGCAATTGCCTAGTTTATAGAACTACATTTCAAGACCTAAATTGAAACAGCAACAGTTGAATCTCCTGTACTCCAAATTTGTTCTTCTTCTTCATAATAATAATAATAATTCAGCAGTGACGATGAGTCCTCTCAACCGCTGCTAGGCCATTGAATAGTTAGACCTAATTTGTCAGCCTTCATCATGACCACAGCGTTGGAAAAAGCATCCGCGCTAGCAACAATGACAATTATCGTCATTGGTTGGTAATTCCTATTTCAATTCCCGCTTTTTTTGTGTTGCTGCTACCGCCAATGGCGAAGGTGGTGTTACAGTGGGTGGGTACTTTTTCGGGCTTGGAAAACGCAAACGCTGACGACATAACAGCATCTATACGCTTATGGCAACGTAATCAGAAAGAGACGCCACAAAAACAACAACAACGAGTATAGTCGCGTTAGCAGCGTCACTAAAAACGTAAAGAAACAAACTCTTGACAAAGCGCTAGTGTGGCAGGGCAGTAGTGGGGAAGAGCTGAATCTTCTGCACTCAACGGGCTGCCAGCTGTACAAACTGCATAATCAGCAGTAGCAGCATTTTACCTTTGGAACTGTTTGATGTCGCCCCTTCGTTTCTATTGCTGTAGTCCTAGTAGTTGTAATGGCGGTTGTGGTAGGAGCTGCAGCAGGAGAAACGCCCGAAGTAGACAACTCGATTGACTATTATGGCAACTTTTGTTAACTACTGCTATGAACAACTATCAGTCGTGAAGTTACTGTCATCGGTGAGGCTTCTCTGCTCCTTTTTATCAAGGTTCCATGTATTTGTTGTCCTGTTCGCATTTGTCCGTTAGATGGGCAGCAGTGCACAGATAGTGGCAGATCTGCAACGGAGGAAACGCTCACGTTGGCGTGAAGGCTGCTGCGCCTGCATATAGAAGTAGCCGCGCGGTGGGAAGATCTGTTTCGATGTTTACGTCACGTCCGACGACTAACCAGTCGGGCGCCGACGACTAGCCGTGAGGGAGAAACTGTCGGCTGTTTGCTTCTCGATTTTCCCCTAATTGGCAACGTTTTTTCCACACCTTCTAAAATAGACTTCTTAATTATATGTGTTGGCCACATCTGCTTTTAGGCCACGGGCTTCATACAGCTGCTTCCAGAAGCGGCAGCAGGCACCGACAGCGATATCTACTATAGCAATATATGTATTATAAAGGAAGAATGGCAAGAGTTGACGCTAGCGAATTTGATTAGATAATGGTCATTTCATTGGCCATGCCAAAGATGTTGTTGTTATTACGTTCCTCTACAAACGCTCAGTGTTGTCGCTTTTTCGGACTCTTTGGACACTTTAAGACAGTCCGGATAGAATAGAATAGTACAGGCGATAATGCTAACGAATCGCAGAGGAAGAGGGGATTCCATGATCTTATGTTCGCTGCCGAAGAACGAACAAACTGCAAACAAAAAGGTAAAGCAGACTGGTGATAGCAGCAGCAGCAACAGCAACAAACGAATCACGAGAAAAGTCAGCTATATTACTTACTAGTTCTCCATCACTGAAGAATATTTCAATGTTTCAACGCTAACGATAATACACAAATAGACAGCTATGGCTGGAAAAAGCCAATGAATGTTTAATGGAGAGTAAAGCCGATAGATAAGAGTCTGATAACGGGCAGTATAACTGGCTTATCAGCGTCAATTGCTATATCATATTCCTAACACCATTCAGGTTAGCTATCCGTACAGATTAATATCTATACTACAAAGACTAGCGGGTTTCGCCCGCGCCGCTTTTGTTATTAATTATATTTTACTTTGCCTGTAAAAGGGTAAGGGACTAATTATATTTATGACAAGGATAACGTTGAATAAAAATCATAATTGTTAGTGATCAGGCTATAAAACTGATAAATATAAAACCTAACAGCTTTTTCTATAATATAGCTTCAACACAGTTTTTCGACCAACACACTTCTTATAACAGTAGAAATAATCTAAATGGCCAACTCTGAAAAATCTTTAGTGGTATAATAAGAGAAAAAAAAAATATATATATATATATATATGTGTGTATGGTATAGGGTGATTTAGGTTAAATGGCACATTTTAGCAACATAGCAGAGAGTCTCTAGGCTAGAAAGTAGATAGACTAATAGATAATAGGAAACAGTAAAAGGTTTGATTGATCCGTTATAATCGAATTTGGTATCGCTGACACTCGTTACGAATCGTATCAAAAAATAAAGATAGGTTCTCGTGAAAAAAAAAAAAGTGAATTTTGCTTAATGGACAAACATCAACCATAATCTTGAGCAACACTCTGCGGTGACGGGAGCCATTGCTCCGAACGGTCATCCATTATCATTGCAGTTTAGGCTTTATCTTGCTCGACCGCAACCATTTCGAGTGCCCATCAATTTCTGGCTCTTTAGATTTTTAAGACACTGGTACGGTAGCCATGAGGTGCACGCTTTCGGCTTCGTAGTCACGCATTTTTCACATCTGTTCTCCTAGCTTCGTATCGTACGAAACATCGCCTGTTTCTTGCTAGACCTCGAACGACTTCTCATATCTGTCGATTATGCCCATTTGTTTTTTGCGCGCAATTCCATTTCATCTGTATCATTCGCACCTATACCGTTAACGCATCTCAGATTATCCGTACGTCACCTGCGCTCCCATTTTCGGAAGACCGCGCGTCAACAAATTTGTAACTTGCACTCGAATTTGCCATTGGATATAAAAGTTCTTCTCTTTGGAAGAAAAATGTTTTACGCTAAGTGCCTGATTCAAACTTGTGATTGCCTGTTAGCACCACTCTCGCTATTGCTGCAGCCATCTTTAGGATCTTATTTATGCAATTCGTTCAGGTTAATCGGCGCTGTTTATTGAACCTGTGACTCGTTGTGATGACTTGTTTGATGCTGATCCGAAAGGTTAAAGAAATCGTAGTGAGTACCATTTGCCAACGAGCTAGTCGAGAGTTCGAGGAGTTAGTAACCGCTAAAGAATTTGAACCCATAAGACTGTCACTGACTATTAAGATGCCCAAACGCGTCAGCCAGTTGGATCCTAGATGGCCAGCGGCTCAATGGGTTTGAATCGTTATGCAGAGATGCTGTGAATCTGCGCAAATTACACAGCTCCGCGATAACATGCCGCAGGTGGATGCTTGCTATCGATAAAACAGCATACACGGCCTAAGAAGCAGCCCCTAACACAAAACAAACGCAGCGACGACTCACAGACGATCCTCTAGGCTCGAATGTAACACCGATTTCTTGTGGATTCTGATAACACGTAAATACGCACATAAGTAAGAACAGTACTGAAAATATCTAAGTGGGTATAGGGCGATATACAAGTTTTCTTGATAAGAATTGCCTTACTAACGAAGTACTTGCACATACTGATTTTAGCAGGTCGTCCAAAACATCAAATAAAAGGGGGTTGGGGTCGCTTCATAGCAAAGGGGTGTAGGAAGAAATCAACCGCACATTGACGCTCGTCACAGCGACCCCAACTGTTTTGGCAGACTGACGGTACACGCAGTGGTACGATATGCGTCATTGAGTTAGAAAAGGCTAGCAGATCAAGTTCACGGTTGAACAAGTCTAAGAATGGTTCTATATAGACATATGTCGTTGCTGTCACTGGAACTTCGGTCGTCGGTTGAAAGTTCTGCTGATACAGAGAATCGCAAGCAGTGCGTGCGATTGCGCCGGATCGATGCGATACCATAGAAACGAAGAAGAGCAGACGCCAACTTGTGGCCGGTTATTATGTGTTAGACACCAGTGAGGTATGGGAAAAAAGAATTTAGAAAAATTTCTAGTTCTGGTTTGTCCGGTTCAGGGAATGGTTCCCCGATACCAAAATCATTGTTTGTGGCGCACAACGCTAAGGATCTCACGGGTGTAGCAAATGGCGAGGACGAACGTTGCGGTTCGAAGGACGATATCAAGGCGTGTACGGTCTATAAACGATGTCAGCGTCAACCAGTTGCTTGTTGCACAGTTTGGATCCTAAAACGCTTCATGACGACACTGTCTAGGCTATGTTAGCCGACTGATACACAGTACATCATAGACAGTATTGTTATTTTATCATTCACAATAAAACATATCTCTTTGTTTGGTGACAAAGCTCTAAAAATATCTATTCAAATGATCATCATCCGATTCGTGTTTCTGTTGAATTTGAACGTGTCATTCGATCTTCACTTACCGTTAATCCGCGATGTCGCTAGTGACAGCAGCAGTAGCAGCACTATGGCGTGCTGCGTCCGCGGCCACTGAAATTTACAAAGTAACCAAAATGAAGTCAAATGTTTTTAGATTCTTTATTTTATGCCCTATTTTCGCGCAGTTGTTTGTTACGCGACTTTGATCTTTATGTACGTTGCTTACTGCTGCCTTTCGTGAGCCAACTGCTATCCATGATAGATTTTTCACGTTATCGTTCTTAGTAAAGCTAAAAGTTTCTAAAAAGAAGATCGGTCACGAGCACAACTAAGAGTGCGGAGGAGATCTTCTTATGCACGTCAGAACTAGCCAACAAATCTTTTAGATTGTCAAAATCTATATCTGAGGCAATTGATTATGCTTCCGAGGAGACCTAATCGGTTTTCGGTTTCGAACCGACAACTCGACTGAAACACGGGCAGTATTTCGAAATTGGGCTGTAGCACTGGCTGAGAGTGAATGAACGTTTTCGCATAAACACATACATCAAAATTACTGTTATTTTTGCAATGAATAATTTGCCTTTGTTGCGGGGTTGTCCGCTACAGGAGTTCTTCGTCACAATGGACGGGAACAGCTAATCAAATATTGCTTATTCCCACAAAGACCGATGCTTTTTTAATAGATCAAAACAGAAATGTATAGAAAACTTTGCCATGCATATTTTATTAGAAATATATACATAGAAAGTTCTAGCAAACGATAAAATGGGCACGAAATTAAAAATAATTCTTTCTATACGCACGCTTATTTATTACCGTAGGTGCCTGCATCCAGAAATAGTGGTTATTTCTTGTTTTTGACGCTAAGAATAATATCTTCGTAACATACTGGCAACCTATCTGATTATGCCGCAGCGCGTTCCATTCCACATCACTTTCATGTGATAGAGTTGTAAACCTGTTCCGAATATCCATTTTAATTGTTAAAGAACCGTATAATCTCCTTCCCATATTTTAACCCGTATTGAAACCGCGGTTGCTACGAGTGGGTTTCATGAATAGCTCTGCCCAACCGTTTGCGCGCAGCTACCTTCCCCGCGTGCCGTTAAAGTCACCTGCAAGATGAAATACTTAAGAAGAACCCCTTTACTTTACTGAGGTTTGTTGATTTTTCTCTATCTAGTATTAAATGGCAAACTGAGCCAGCTTCCTTCAACCTTTTAATAGGTCGGTACTGCCCACAGAAACCGGTAGTTTCTGGTGGGGAAAATCGATCTACCGCCATAAAAAGCTGCTTTAATAAGAACACCTATTGAACGCTGGCGCGCTCACCGAATACACAAAAGAGGTAATTGTCTTCTGCGCGAGTTAGACGCTTTTTCCCTAACTCTGTTCTGGTTCGCCTGGCTCCTCTTTCTGTCGATGCAGAGTTTTAATAGTGTTTCGACGCTCACATAAATGCGGTTTTTGTACGACCACAACATCTGTGGGATTTAAGACGCAAACGTTAAAAACTCTTTTGTGAAAGATTTTGGTTGTTATCTAATGAATAGGTAACTGTCAGACGTGAGGACGGAGACAGGTAAAAAGGTGTATAGAAAGTCTATATAGAAACCAAAGACGCCGTCAGCGAGTTGAAAACCCGGGTCGACTACATCGCGACTAGTAGTACAGAACCGCTACCCCGAAGTGTGAGTCTCTTTGGATAACGGGAATTCACGTGAATCGCTCTTGACCTTCGACCGTTCCATCACCTGAATTCTGTTTGACTCGGTTGGCTTCTTTACAAAAAGTTTCGACCGCCGTTCCAATATGTTACTCCTGTGCCACCCATAACACAGGGCTGAAGTTTTGTGTAACATACATCTTTCGCTTATAGCTGAAGTCGTCCCCGCCATAACAACAATAACGCTAGCAGCTCCAGCATAACCAACGTCTCTCTCGCGGATTATGTCTGAAAGCCATCACTTCAAAACCTCGTTATCCTGTTTCGACTTCTGAGCCACGTTTGCCAATTCGGTTGTAGTTGACAACAATTTAAGACAGCGATGATGACGGGAGTAGCAATCATAATTCCGGAGTAAAATATATGTGAATGTCGTGACGTCGGCAAAAAACGGATACCCCTATTTTGTTAGAAAAGGATAACTATTTCTGAGTTGACAATAGCAAATGGCGTACGAGTGAATAGAGTAAAGTACGACGGAACATTGTGACGATGGGCAGCCCCGTGGCAATCCGACCATGGAGAAAGGTACAGAATTAAAATGAAAAGACGACAGAAGACGCTTTCAACAAGGTACTTTTTTGGCGAGTGCGTGAACCGTAAATTAGGCGAGTGGGCGGACGCCCGGCCGCTGCACAGGAGCTGCTCCGGCAGCCCCCCTCTACCAGATAGCTTTTCAACGTCGTTGTTCTATCCGTACGACCCGTTGATGCCTGACGATTTCTGACAGCCTATACAAAGCATATGGCAAATAGATACGACTTTGGCAGGCCATAAAGCAATCATCGGCTAAGTTGACTTGGCCCACCTATCACCACGACAGGCGAAAATATACCTTCCTTTATTACGGTTTTTTGCGGCCACCTCGCTTTGCAACCTCCGTAGCGTCCGAAAAAGTGTCGGTTATTACTGCAATATCATAAATATATATTGGAAAAAAAAACAAGCAACTAATCAAGAAGTTCAAGGCGTCTAGGTACAAACAAAACAAAAGTCTTCTCGATCCAGCTATGATAATTCAATGTGCTTTAATACACGATGATCCATTTCAATGCAATTCAAACATAACAATCTGGCGCGTGAAATTTATTCATAGTTCTTGCTTCACCGACGTGGAGGAAACAAAACTTCCAAAAGACGGACCAGTTTCATTCAGGCCCAGCAGCTATCCGCGGCTCTTATTATTAGATAGAACTTAAAAAATAGAGAACGAAATATAGAATCACAAAAGTGGACCTGTAGCTGTTTATGAAGGGGTTGGGGGCTGAATCCTGAATAAAGCGATTATTATTGTTGTCTCTGAGACAGTGATGGCCCAAGTGTTTTGTGACTCTGTCATCTCTTAGAGGTCAACGGTGGGAACGCAAGGCGAGTTACTGCAAGTGAGGATGTTCAAAGCTTGCAATTACTGCAGGTGACCAGACCGGGTCATTGGTACGCAGCGCTAACTAATGTAATCCATCGAAAGGTCGTACTCCCTTTGCGCGCTCCCTGGCCGCTCCTCGACAGCCTGGCATAACGTACGCGCAAAATAGTGATGTCATTTGAGGGATCTGTTACAATAAAAAATTGCTCTTCGCCAGTCGAGGTTAGGTTCAAATATTTTTCCTAGATCTTGTACCACCATGTTCTTCGCAGATAAAGAATAATATAACAAAATTAACATCGTTCATTAATTTACAATTGTTATTGAAGTTTTGTGATGTCAGCCCGTCGACCTGCGGCCTATGCCGATTAATTGATATTGACACAAACGATCGAACCCTTTTTCTACGGCCACGTCAGATTTCCAAAGTTCTTGTTTTACCACCAAACGAGACTCAACGACAATGAAAAGGTTGGAATGGCCATGATTCATCAGCTATTATACAGACAAGCGTTAGAAGAGGTGTGGGAACAAGTATCGTTTTGAACGTATAGCAGAGTGAAAGGATCGTACGAAGAGTTGCCAATCAGTGTTCGAGTGCTGCATAAACACAGCTTCCGTCCAACGGAACTTCGTAATGAACGAGCATTGAGAGTTACAATATTGAGCAGATCAAAGAAGAAGAGTGCTTAAATTAAGAATGCGATCTTCATCTATTCAGACATTATTATAAAAGATACAGTAAATCATTTTAATTCGCAATTTTCAACTTGCTCTTCAAGCGAACTATCCGCCTTCAGATCTTCTATTCACATAGCCAAACCCGCTGTCACATCTGTATTTGCTAAAATCGTATTTGTTTACATCTTGAATGGGATCTTTGTTTTTTTTTACTGTATACTACGTATAGAACGTACCATTTATGTTAGTTTTCCTGAGGTCAGGTAGTCGCTTCCCAAAGAGATATCACGAACAGACTCACACGAATTATATGTTAAGCTCTGTTTGGCCTCAAACCTCGATATCATTTCATTCAATTGATACTTCGACTTTTGCTGTATCTAACAAAGGTCGTGATCCAAAACGCGATTAATATACCTGCGAAAACCGTATTTGCAGATATGTCGCGGATCACTGAGGCGACAACCGCTCAGTGCGCTGTAAAAGATGTAAATTAAATAGTGGCCTTGGCCTAAATATCGTAGGAATCCTTCAGAGCTGCACTGTCGACAGGATAGACCAAAAATTTTATGGTCTACAAATATTGAAGGTGTTCGATGAAGCAGTTGATGCTGCACGAACATAGGTAAAGTACTACAGCAGGTTAAATAGTTATCACCTATATAACCCGCATACGTACATAAATCACCACGTAAATCTAAAATATCGTTTCGTTTCACCCGTTCACGGAACATACATTCTCTATAGTCCTATTCCCATCCTGGAAATATACTGAAATATATACTGAATATTAGTACGTTTATAATTTCTGTAAAAGTTCTGTTTATCTCCGCTGACGAGCCTCTACGAACTTTTATAGGCTGGCAACGTAAGATTATGGGAATATAATTTATGTTTTTTTTTTCCCATAATTTTGTTATCCACGATTTCGTGCTTCTGGCGTTCCCACATTTGATTTTGTCCGGGACGAGGATAATGATGACGATGACGATTCTTCGGCGCGATAGTCTACTACCATTGGTTTACCAGACATGGGTTAACTTAAACAGGCTGTCAGGAAGCTCTTTGCGACGGTCTTTTCTCGCTTGCACTGAGCTGCTGGAGAAGGTAGGCGATGGCCCTAATTGGAAGATACCAGCAAGTTAACTTTTTACGTTTCTCATATAACAGGGTGCTAATATTTATAGCGTCCGTATTAGACGTTTAGTATAACTGCAGTGAACCGTTTTGACAATATTTAAAATTAATTCTGCATAAATATTTGTGATTTTAAAATATTATCTTATATATATTCCAGCAGAAATACCTCATTAGTTATGAAAATTCAGCTGATTG